GTCCTTATGACAAAATCAAAATTTTTTATATCATACATCTCTATTTTGATAATCATCATCGTCATCGTCATCATCGTCCTCAAAGACCTCCTCAAACATTTTCTCATTATACCGTGGAGATAAATATTTACAATTCATTACTTAGTATTTGTCCAGCTTACGTTGTTCGCATGCTGACTGGCTGGACGAGATGTTGACCATTACTAGTAGATTGGTTGGTTGGTTGATTGGTTGGTTGGTTAGTTAGCTGATTGGTTGGCTGGCTGGCTGGCTGGCTGTTTGGTTGGCTGGTTGGTTATTTGATTGATTGGTTGGCTGGTTGGTTGGTTGGTTGGTTGGTTGGTTGGTTGGTTGGCTGGTTGGTTGATTGATTAATTGCCTGGTTGATTGATTGGTTGTTTATTTATTTTGGAGCGGTTCGTGCATTACACGCAGACGTCTTCCACGTAAAACATGCTTTAAACCGTCTTATATTTGTTTGTTCTCTTTTTAAAACCTTCTTTCTCCTGTTTGGATTTATCTTTAAATTGGGTTTTTGTGTATTCTTAAGAACCACTTGAAATAATTTATTCCTTTTCTTCCGTCGCATCTTTTCGTCTATTTATTCTTCCTTTTTCTCCATCTTTCCATCCATTCTTTCTTTCTTTCTTTCACTCGATCATTCCATCTTTTTATTCTTTCTTTCCTGTTATTCATCGATGTCTATACGTTTTTAAGGATGAGCTAAAAATTAATCCGTCTTTCTGAAAACAAAACTGTCTGTTGATCGTCTGATCGACATGTTAGCTCAAATAGTAGAAGCGCTGCTCGTTCAGTTGCTGTTGTCCGGTGGTATGGTTCGATCGCAATCTTTGCTCTTGCCGAAAAAGTTAAGTTGTATGTAGAGGATGTTTGTTAATGTTTTAATATGACTTTTGTGTTATCAACGATTAGTATGATGATAATAATAAGTTTAATGTTGGATTTACAGAGTTTGTGAATTAATATTAACTTTTTATTGTGTTTTCTTGTTTTAAAAGTGTTGTTTTTACTAGTCTTTGTTAGAGCAATTTTGATTAAATCTTTATTTGTAGTAAAAAACAGTTCCGAATAGCGAACGTTCCGTTGTTCGACGGAATGAAACCCCGAAGCATTTTTTGTGAAATGTTATGCGCTTGAAAGCTAATTTCATCCGGATACTCACTGGCAAAAGTAAACTTAACAAAACTCCGGAAGTTCATAAATGTTTTGTTTGATTTTTGACTCATAGTTGTGCATCTAATTTAAAAATTTCGTTGAAATGTTAGTTCGGAAAATATTTTATAAAAGTTTAAAACCTTAAAATCGCTTTTTGTATAACGATTCTTGGTACATGTGATTCGGCCGGGTTGAAAGTTCACTAATCTAATCTATTGATCCCTTGATTTTGTTAGTTTTTTTTTAGATTGGATCAGGTGACCCATGTGTTGATCTGTCGACCTAACGTTCGTTTTAAACAAGCTTTCCGCATGCAGTAATTTATGTTCGTTTGGTTGTTTTACGAATGTTTTTCTTTGTTTCACAAAAAATATCAGCCAGTCTCAAAACCATTGAATCATTTTTTTCCTGAAAATAATTCTGGACAATTTTTTCAAAAATAATGTTGAAACGTCCAAAAAGTAGCGATGCATACTACAGGGGATCAACATCTACTCCCAATAGCAACAATCAGGCAGCGTCCAACAACAAATTGGTGTCAGCAATCATATCTCCATGTCATCGTCCCAGCTATCACACTCCTCCATTAGGCCACATTCGTCCGGATTGGATGTCATTGCAGGACATTCCTGACGAATGCCTGGACCCCAGTCCTGAAAAACCAGTGGCACCGATTTCGCTAGCGGAAGCAGATCCAGAGCATCTGTGGGATGGGAACAAAAAATTGTTCGTACAGCTTCTAGACGACATGGACAACATTGGAGACGTTGCCGGGGTTTCAGAGGGATCTGCCAGACGACGTAAGAAAGCACGTGAGCTTTTCACTGATTGGCTCTTTAGTTCTAACAGAAAATCATCTGATAATCCTCCTACCCCTACTCCAGACGTAACCAATGTTCACTTACGCTCTAAATCAAACAATTTTGATCCCAGAAGATTTAGTGGGGATTTCACTAATTTTGATGTTAGGATTCCAGTTGGTGTCGAACCTTCAATTCCCAGGGCTTTGCCGGGCAGGCTGGAAAGGCAGACACCATCTCGAAGGTCGTGTGGGGGCGTGTTGGACAGAAAAAACCTGTACAACAAGTGGAGACCAAGTTCCATTCACTTGCCTAATGAGGTCAACATTAGTAATTTTGCATCTTTTCATGGTTTTATAGATATGAATCTTCTTAGGTGATTTTTGTCCAAAAATAAAATTTGAAAGGATTTCAGTAACTAAATTTTATCTTCACAGTTGAATTATTCGCAAAAATCTTCATCTTAATTTTTCAAATAAGGATGAAGCGGACTCAGGTTACCACTCAGGAAATAGTGCTGTGCTGGGGTCGATATGTCAGCTGCCTTCCAAAGGTCAGATGACCTTGACATTGGAAGATCTCAGAAGAAGGATCGACAAGTTCAACACCAACAACACACACGGACTACTCATGGACATGGTTAGTTAGTTACTTAGTTAGTAGTGCCAACCATCATATTACTAATTATGGCTGACAATAATAATTATTATAATATAATAATTATTAAATAGTAATTATAATAACAACAAATTCCCAGCCGTCAGATCGAAGTACCACATTTCAGGGCTTCATTAGAGTGCACATGAATCTTATTAGGCCAATCAGTATGAGGATATCCAAAAAACCTATGACCATTTACGACACCCTAACCAGAAAGAAACAGGGATGTGCTAAAAATAAGCCATTCCCCGATGCTACTGCTGCTACTACTGCTACTACCACTACTACCGCTATTACCACTATTTCTAATACTAGAAGTACTATTTCAAATACTGCTAATGATAAAAGCAATTGTAGTAGTAATAAAAGCACCCATGCTTTTAAAAATAATTGTTCGAAAAGTATTAGTAATAATAATGGTGATAGTAAATTGGGAGTATTTGCTAGTAGCAGCTCTACCATAAAAAGTAGCAGTATTAACAATAATAATAATAATGATGTGATGAGTGGTCTTGCGGACGATTTGTCACCATCATCGTCTTCGTCTGGAAGCATGGACGAGAATGTCGTGTCATTCTGTCTGCCAAAGAACACTTCTAAAGTTATTCACATCAATAGGTTGGTTGGTTGGTCGGTTGGTCGGTCGGTTGGTTGGTTGGTTGGTTGGTCGGTTGGTCGGTCGGTTGGTTGGTTGGTTGGTTGGTTGGTTGAGTAAGTGATGGCTCTGTTTGGTTGACTGGTTGATTTGATGGTTGATTGGCTGGTTGAACGAGTAGATTGAGTCATTTGTTAATTGGATGGTTGAGTCAGTGAGTGAGTGTCATTTGATTGATTGATTGATTGATTGATTGATTGATTGATTGATTGAATATTATTTCCATTCCCCAGCATGACAACAACAGTTGAAGTAATAGCTGCCCTCCTATCAAAATTCAACATATCCGACAGCCCGAGGAAGTTCGCACTCTACGAAAGAATATGCTACCCTAACAATCCACGTTTGTATTCCTATTATTGGTTGATTGATTGGCTGATTGAATGAATGATTGATTGAAAAAACGATTGATTGACTGATGGAACAGCCAGCATGAGAAGGATGAATGACGATGAACTGCCATTGATAATGTGTCTGACGTGGGCTGATGAAGGCATACAGAACCTCGATTTCAATAAGTTCGTCCTACAGGAAAACGACACAGGGGAAATCATGGTTTGTTTGTTTGTTTGTATGTTTGTTTGTTTGTGTTTGTCTGTTGTTTGTGTGTTTGTTTGTATGTGTGTGTATTTGTCTGTTGTGTTTTTGTGTGTATTGTTTATGTTAACATTTATTACCGTTAAACATAGTAGGACACATCTCTTCTGCTAATCATATTCACGTCATCAGCCACGCCTCTAATACTTTACATTTTATTGGTTCCACATTAGCTTTTTGTATTTTTCTATATCTCTCAGTTAAAAAATTCGTGATAACGTATGTTAATTTATTCTAATTCTAATTTATTCTAATTTATTCACAGTGGGAAGCCTTCAGCCTACCGGAGTTAGAAAGTTTCCTAAACGTCCTAGACAAAGAGGAGAAGGAGTGCATCAACCAGGTCAGAGAGAAGTACAGAACAACGAAGAGCCACATGCAGAAGAGACTTGATGAGTTAGGGAAATTAGGCAGCGGGAGGGGTCCAGGGATGGGCGGTGATGGAAGAAATAAAGGGGGCAGTAGTGGTAGTAGTGCTGGTAATAAAAAACGGGTTGCTATTTTTGTATGAATGTAAATTTAAGTACACACATACACCCATACATACACACATACATACACACATACATACACATATACATACATACATACATACATACATACATACATACATACATACATACATACATACATACATACATACATACATACTTATCTCACACATGCATATATGTAAATTTACAACTTTCCTTAATTGTTTTCCCAATCTTGTTAACCAACACATCTCTATATAGGTCATAATAATGGTTATGATGATGACAACGACGACGACGATAATGTTAATTATAACTAAGATTATTATTTTTATTAATTATGGTTTGTTAAGTATGTTAATGAAATAAATTTGTTTGAATGGTTAATTTGTTAGTTAAATGAACGTAAAATGTTGCATTGTATTGTGTCGTATTGCACGTGTAAAAGTTTGTTTATTTCATCACACACACACCATTCGTTCTTCTTAGTATGCCTTGAAATTATTTCATTAGTGTTTTATATATATAGCTATATATATATATATATATATATATATATATATATATAGCTATATATATATATATATAGCTGGTCATAGTCATAATTTTCATTCATCTATTATCACTCTCTAGAAAATCCCGAAGTCTTATATTGTTTGTAATGAAAGTATGTGTGTGTGCGGTGTGTGTGTGTGCGCGCGTGTGTGTATAATGTATGTAACATATATATATATTTTGTAAAAGTAAAACATGTGTTTATATATATATATATGTATATATGCATGTATGTTTATATATTGCCATTTTTTTATTATAGTTTATTGACCATATTATACATATAGTTCATTTTGTACATTTATATTCAGTTTCGTTCGAGTTATATATATATATATATATATTTATATATATATATATATATATAGGTTGACTTTTTCTATGTTATATTTTTTATGTTTTCATTGATTGGGTATGTCTTTTCATGTTGCTCTATGTTTGCGTTTGTCTTTGTTTATGTTTATGTATTTATGCGCGGTTTTTTTTGTATACACTTTATGTATCATTTCTCATGATTAGAAAAAAATATTTCGTTGGTTTGTTTGTGTGTGTGTGTGTGTATGAGAGAAAGAGAGAGAGAGAGAGAGAGAGAGAGAGAGAGAGAGAGAGAGAGAGAGAGAGAGAGAGAGAGAGAGTGAGTGAGATACCACATTGAAAATTTTATTTCACATTTCAAAATATTTCCAAGTTGTTCATTCTAAATTTCAATTACATATATATATATATATATATTCTTTATTGTTTTTGTTATTTTCATTATAAAAAATGTAGTCAGGGGTATGTATGTACTTGTACATATATATATATATATAAATACAAACACAGGTTTATAGATGTATTTTTTTGCAATGTTATCAGATACGTTTTAAAACTAATTGTATGTACTGTATGTATTGCATTTGCTAAATTATTATCAATGCTGAGAGAATAATTAAATTATAGTTAGTTTGCATATGAATGAAATACAAATTTAATCTTTTTTTTATTTAATATATTTATTTATTTATTATTGCTTTGGTTATGAATTTTAACGGTAATAGTTTTAGCATTGATTGCATAGTATAATTAATATAATCTCGTGTGTGTGTGTGTGCTTGTGCGTGTGAGTAGAATACATTGACGTTTAACGAACTTTATTTTTCAAAGTTTAATTTCAAAGTAGTAAACAAAAACAATAATTATTATTCAATAATATATACGCGCGCGCGCGTGTGTGGTAGGTCTGCTGATTGTCTCGACAACACATTAATAAATAAATCAATTTATTAATATATATAAATAATATTCGTTTATGATTAAACGATTTTTTCTTCATAGTTTATTATTTGAAATGTTTCGCACATGTGTGTCTAAAAGGAGCGGTTCGATATAAGATTTAATATAATTATTTTTAAAAGTTAATTTTAAAACGGTCAGATTAGGCTTTGGATTCGGTTCTAGCTGTCATATTGAGTGAAATTTACGATTTGAAAGGATGTCTGATAATGAAAAAGAAGGCGATACCGACTTTCATGGACCGGTTGTCATCGATTCGGTGATTGAAATGAAAGATATCGATCCTTCTTTAATCAATTTCCTCCCATCTGAGACTACTTTTAGTCAGTTGTCTAGGCTCCAGGTTCCCGGTGGCCACCAACATCCACTGTCCGGACTATATGCCACTTGTAGCGCGGCCGTCGCCAACGTTTCGAATTTGGAAGCCGATCTTCCCGATAAATATACGAAGCCGTCCAAGTTTGAGAAGTTAAGTCCTTTGATGTAAGTTTCGGATTATAAATCATTTTTGTGGGTTATTGCTGGGAATGTTATTATTTTAGATAAATTTGTAAATAATATATAAGTTAGATGTGTAAATTGGGTATTATCTTGTTTAAATGTTAGTGATTGTGATTGAGTCGATTGCGAATTTTGTTGAAATATTAATTTAAAATGATAAATAAACATTTTCGTTGAATATTTTTCGAATTTTCGTTTAATTTAGACTTTAATTTATCCAGCAAAAAGAAAGCTCCAACATTGAAGCACTATTCAGACGATATCCTTGCAAAATACAAAAAACAAATCCAAAAACTTTCATCCTCACCTACACCTCCGGCCGCGAAATTATCAGTGAAACCATCACCGAAATTTTCTTTCGAGGTAGAACTTATACCCTCTCTACTATCGGATGATGAAAATTCATCGAGTGATGAAGATGAAATCGAAAAAGGCAGTCCTATCGGCCAAGCCGATTTCTTGGACATTCTCGGTCAAGTAAAACCTGACGACGTAAAAAACTGTGAACCCACAATTCCTTACGATATAGAGGACAGGGCCGACTCGTCTGCCAGATTGTTCCATAGTTCGGAGTTGAGATATTATCAGCGCAAGTTGAGATGGAGACAGAATCTAATGATTGAGAAGTTGCTGGAGAAGGAAAGGTTGATGAAGCTGGCTGAGGAAGAAGAGAGAAAGAAATTTATGGATCTCAACGCAACACGTTTTTATCAATTTAAAAAAAATTTTCATGTTTTTTTTTGTATTTCTGTTTTTGTATTAATTTGAAACTTGAATTTTTTAATATTTTGCTCGTTAAAATGAAGCAATAGCATATTATAAACACTACTTCATCTGCCTTTAGTTAATAAAGAGCAGCCAAACTTGAAATACGAAGACGATCTGATGATGGAAGACGACGACGACTACATCAACGTCTGTACTGATATGCAGGGTACTAGATTTTCAATTAGCAATGGTCTACTTATTTATATCATTAACCATTTCAATTATTAAATTTCAATTTCGTCTATTGATCCGTTTGTTTTTCAAGTGCTGCTTCTGAAAGATGGTGTCAGCGACCCGAAAAATTTTGAATACAAGTTTAAATGCCACCAAGATGAGAGGCTGATTGATTTTAAGATGAAACTTACATCAGTAATGAACTGTAGCTTTCATTTGATCACTATTCAAAATTTGGAAGGTTCTATTTTTTTCATTCCGACTTCAATTTAATTAGTTTTTACTTTTTTGTCTTTTTTATGTTTCAAATATAATCAGGGAAATTATTTTAGCTTGGAAAAAAGTCTAAAATATAAATAATTTTTTGTAAAAAATGAAATTTGTAAGGTAAGGTTTTAGAGGATTCCATGCCATTCACTTGTTGGCTATCCAGCAAAGATCGTACTGAGCCAGGATTGTTAAAGCTGATGATAAGAGACCAACCTGCCGAGAATGGAGATAGTTCATGGACTCAGTACAATGTTCTGCTTGTTCCTATCGTTCTGCCCAAGGTCTATCTCATCAAGTTGAAGTCAGGTTTGTCTGCTTCATTTCATTTGCTCTGATCTGGATGTGGCGTGTTGTTCTGTTTTGTGTTAATTTTCAGAGAATCTCTTTTACCATCAATGCAATAATTATAAAGCTTGTTTTCCTCGCAAATCATTTAGTTTTTCAAACACGCACGCTCTGCAGGCGAAGAAATAACAGTAGAAAAAGAGCAAGGTCGCAAGGCATTCCTCGGTGGATACGTCGACAATGTGAACTGCAAGGTCTATCACAACTCAGCAACCCAAACAACCAACCGAAAAGATATTTGCGAGATTTACGAGAGATTGGAGAACCTGAACAGACGCGAGAAATACAGCCAGACACGTTCGCTGCGTAATGCGTGCGTGCAGACGAACCGGGATACATCAACGCAGATGACTGACGTCGGTGTCTACCGATCGATTGTAAAGGATAGAGTAGTGGTTCCAAGAGGCAACTACGTCACGGCCGAGGAGTTCTGGCAGATTCTCACGAATAATGTTAGGTTCGATGAATGACTGAATGAATGATTTGATGGTTTTGTAAAAAATTCTGGTTGTTTTCCGAAATGTATTGTTTACAAATGATTTAAAAGATTAAAATTTGAGAAAAAAAACTTTTAAACAACGTCTTTAACACCAAATGAGCAGATAGTGACAGTCCAAAAGTACTTCAGACGTTGGTACGCCCGCAGAATCATCGAGAACAGTGGCGAAGAAGCTCTGCATAGAGTACGAGGAGACGCAACTTCTTGATTTTTCGTTTCTGGAGGCAGAAAAGGCCGAGCAGATGTACAGGAGGATGCATCCGAAGACGAAAGAAGATTTTGACCTTTTGTACGTTGATCTCGAAGGCCAGTTCAGTTGGCAATTCCCTCATTTAACCATTTTATTCGAATTACTCTTCAAGTAGAATTGTTTGTTTGTTTGGTTGATTTGAGCTTTTTTTCAAATTAAGCATTTGGAAAATGTTCTACAAAGCAGTAAATGCTATTTCAAGATAGAAGAAACTGAAAATGATATACTGTTTAACACACAGTTTGGAGACTGGCAGAATTAGCGGACATATCGTCGCGAATGACTGGCGCGAAAAAAAAGGCGACACTTTGTCAGCTGATGGAAGATGAAAGTCGACTTATCAAATGCATCTGTGAGATGCAGCGAAGCATTAAGGACCAGAGATTGCTTCAAATCTTTCAAAATTACATCAACAGGGTTTGTCTTTTGCTTTTATTCCAAAAAAATTACTCAAAATTCAATCCCAGATTGTTAAATCTTTCGTAAAATAACCACGAAATCAGCACTTTCACAAAAAAAAACAAAATAAATGTCACAGATTTCGAAACCGCAAATGAAACGAGACGAGAGAGGGCTGCCGTTAAGTGTCGATACCTGGTACAAGATACAGTCCAGACTCTTGTTTGTACAGTACCAGACTATGGATCACAATACAACATTCATGTCTGGCCCTTATGAAAGACTCAGTGCTCTCAACAATCTTAAAAAATACTTAGAGGTTCGTTCTTTCGTTACATTTCTTGAATACTTTCATAATCGTTAAACTGTCTTTAATTGAATACTTTCATAATCGTTAGACTATCTTCTTATATTGTATTCTGATTTAATTTACACGAATATTCGAGTTTTATCAATCGAAACAAAAATTCATTTTTTTCCAAGTTAAAATGTTTTCTTACAAAGTAAAAATTTTTTTCTTAAATGAAATTACTTTGTCACCCAGGGGAACGACAATGACAGGCTGATAAACGTCAAGCTGGAGATTTTGGAGATGATAGAGAGAGAGGCCACCTTGACTATGCGTGGTGTCAGGAAAGATCGACTGCTGGGTCTTCGCAAGAGAATCAACAGTTTGTTCTACACGCTACTGAAAAAACCTGAGTTCAATCCGGCCGTTGTTGAACATTTGAAGGTTAAATTAGGACGAAATTTTCAAAAAAATTTATGAAACAACACCAACAAACCACCAACAACAATCCACTAACAAACAAACCACCACCAACAAACAAACCACCACCAACAAACAAACCACCACCAAACAAACGAACCATCACAGCCACCATCCCAAAAAACAACTATTTCACCAAGCAGAATTTAAGAGACCCGTCCTACCTAGCTACAATCGTCTGCTGCATAAGTTGCGAGAAGAATCTTCCGGTTTGCATGTACCCACACACCACTTCATTTACGACTCTACCGAATATTTGCAAAGATTGCCAGCGAACCAACAACAGAGGCTGCAAAAGGACCGATGTCTCTTTGTACGCTGCTATGCTTATGAGACTGCGGAAAAATGAGAGAGACTATGACGACGGATCGCGCGTCGCTTTTTTTATACAAGTGAAAATCTTTAAAAGTTGATTTTTTGTATATGTCGTCAGCGTTGACTGTTTCTGGTTGGTTATTTTTGGAGTTTTGGTTAATTGGTTGATTGATTGGTTGATTGATTGGTTAATTTATAATTAATTAATTGATTGATTGATTGATTGACTGATTGATTGATCGATTGAACTATAGAACTAATTAAACTTACTAATAACATAATTATTCACCACTAATTCTACTATTAATAATTACAACAATTACTTAGTAATGCAGCTATAAATTATATTTAACTTCGCCCTAGACACGAGATATACAATACCTGGTGGACTGCATATGGCAGATGAGAAGCATACTCAGTAAAAATACCAACCTCAATAGCTTAGTATTAATGAGGTTGCACTGAATGTGCATATTATTTCTAGTATGTATTAAAACTTTTGATTATTATATTAAAAACGTACATTATCAAGGGCTAAACACCTACACGCACACGCGCACACACACACGCACGCACACACACAAATACACGTATAAATCGCGTACATAGAGACACGTTTCACAACGAATCATTCCATTTTATGCTTAAGTGGAAAGCGAAGAAATGTCCCAAAAATGTGTTTTTAACTTTAATTTACAGGAAAATGATTTTTTTTTAAATTTCTTTCCAGATGGGATATTAAAAAGGAATGGACCCCCTGGAACTCCATTCTTGTGACGATGCACGAAGCACTCTGCCATCTCCGAGTCAATGACGTCAGAATGGTTGCGCCATCAGTTCTTTTTTTTTTTCAATTTTATTATTTATTTATTTATTTATTCGAATTTGAGAATTCGAAGGTTGAGTTAAAAAAAATAATTTGTAATTTTACTTTGAGTTATTATTTAAAAGTAAATTTTGAAATTTTGACCGCCGTAATTGAAACACACACACACACACACACACACACACACACACACACACACACACACACACACACACACACACACACACACACACACACACACACACACACACACACACACACACACACACACACACACACACACACACACACACACATCTCTCTCTCTCTCCTCTCTCTCTTTATCTATCTATCTATCTATTTCTCTATCTATCTATCTATCTATTTATCCATCCATTCATCCATCTATCTATCTATCTAATCTATCTATTTCTCACATACCCACACAAACTTCTCACACACATACACAACACACACACAGACCTACAGTCCTGAGTTAATCTATTTTGTCCGGCACAAACACGTGCAAGCCTACAAGGAGTTCAGCCGCCTCGTTCCCCTAACCTGCAGACGACAATTACCTCTCCACAAAAAACTCACAAATCTGCCGGAAGTGAGGGAGTGCCCACCGGGAGTGCCAAAAGTGTACTCGGTTAAAAAACCCCACGAAAAAAGATCCGTCCATTGTAAAAATTTGAGGATGCTCTGAATGGAGTGTCGGGATTTTTCCGGTTTTGGGGTTTACTTGGCGGGTTTTTAAGTTTTTTGGTTTTTGTGTTTTGTTGTTGAAAAGATCTTTTTCAGCATTTTTTTTAGTTTTCGGTTTTAGATTCTCATCAAATGTGGTAGATGAAGGGACTTATGTTGGTTGTTTTCAAAATAATTTTGTTTCAAAAGTTTAAATTTCTATTTTAAAATTTCTATTATCTTCAGTTAGAATAAAAAAAATTGTAAAGGGAAATATTCTGAAACAACAACCCATGGTAAGAATCGTTAAAAAAGCTACGTGAATATTTCAACTAGTGATTAACCAAGCGACATAATGTCTATACGTATCTGTCTTTGTGTGTTTGTGTGTATGTATGTGTGTATGTATGTATGTTATATGTATGTATGTATGTATGTATGAATGTATGTATGTATGAATGTATGTATGTATGTATGAATGTATGTATGTATTGAATTGAAACAATCTTTTATTCAGCCAAATATCTAAATGTATGTATGTATTAATGTATGCATGTATGTATGTATGTATGTATGTATGTATGTATGTATGTATGTATGTATGTATGTATGTATGTATGTATGTATGCAGTCGTGACTGACTTTCTGACATCAAATCTCAAAACTTTTATTTTATCATCAGAAAAAAATCACCCTTAGTCCAATTGATATTTTACGCTTCTATACAATAGCGTAATACACACGCACACACACACACACGCACACACACACACACACGCACGCACACACACACATATATATATATAACTATAATTAATTGATCAATTATCTAATTGTTATGAAAATTGTATACCAGAGGTACTTTATTGCTAATATGGATTTGTCATCAATTCAACGTACGTAAATTTCAGTAGCTAATGGCAAAGACAGTTTCGTAAAACGACAGCCACTATTGTATTAGGGACAACTGCACACACACACGCACACACACCTACATACACACTTACTCTATCTCTCACTTAGAGAAAGAGAGGGATCTCTTTCTATAAGTTATAATAATTATAATAATATTATAAGCCAAAGGCTGTATGTTAATAATTATTCTGTTTATAGGTATGAGTTGTACATGTGTAATATGTAGTTTGCTTGTATGTATGTACGTATGTGTGTATATATGTGTATATGTATGTATATATGTGTGTATGTATGTATATATGTGTGTATGTATGTGTGTATGGTGTATGTATTTTTGTATATAAATGTAAGTAGGTATGTACGCAATTCTACATTTCAATCATTATTCTTCCTGGTTCGACTCAATGCAAATATATTGATTGTTCATCTGGTTTTAAAATATTTTAATAGTTTGTTTATGTTATTTGAGTTTAATTTCTTTTTATTATAAAATCATTTTTATGGATATTTAAAATTAAATGGAGTTATTGTCAAATAAAATCGAAAAATTCGACCTAACAAGTGACCTGCATGAAGTAAAAGTGGACGGAACGATGAACGAGCTTGATGAAGGCCGCAAGAATACCTTCCCATCCTCCATTGTAAAGATTTTTTCTACCATCGCTGATAAAACTGAAGCAACCTCTGATCAAACATCTCCAACCGATCAAACATCTCCAACTGATCAAACATCTCCAACTGATCAAACATCTCCAACGCCATTATTCTTCTCTGCACAGCCTGAAGAAATTATTTCAAAACACACTACAACCGCCTCGTTAGAATCGACCGACCTGGTGCCAATATTCGAAGATATCGCATCTATAACCGAACGAATAGACAAAAAATTGACCTTAGAAGATGAAGATTCGCCGAATCGCGACATATCGGTTATTCATAGGGGACCGATTAAAGGAATACCGACTGACATCACCAGTCAGGATAAAATTACGGAGCCTTATAAAAAATTTGCTAGGCCTCGTACTCCTGAATATGCTAGCCATGGCTACGACCAGGTAAATAACTTTATGGCGGATAGATTTCTCGCCAATGTTGATCTTTTCAATGATAACTTATTGCCTCCTTCACTTTTGTCACATCAAAAATTTATGGCACAGTCTCAAAATTTTATTCTGTCTAATCAAGCGGTGCAGGCAAATTTGTATCTGAAGCAGCAGCAGCAGCAACAATATCTTTCGTTAATTCAGCCCAATTACCAGCAATCGTATCAGATACCGGGAGTTCAACTGCAGCCACAACTACACCAAACACAACAACATCAAAATCAACAACCACAGCTGCAACAACCACAGCTGCAACAACAACAACAACAGTATCAAACGTTTGATTTCGAAGATACATTAAATCAGACATTGATCAATCATTCAACGCCCTGTCTCCAACCTGCTGTACCGGTAAGCTATCATCGTCAGCAGCAGCAACTACTACCACCACAGCAGCAACTACTACAACCACAGCAGCCTCCATTCATAAACATCAACAGCAGTTACAATTTTGCTCCTAGCGACGTTCCTGAAGTTACAGACAGTAACAAAAACAAATCAGCCAGGGAGGTCTTGGCAGAACAGCCCAACAACCCTAAATTTTCAATGCCCACTTGTAATTTCATGCCCAGGAAAAATGTCCTTTATAACGAGCACGGTGAGATTATTGGTGAAATGAAAGTTAATAATGAACAACCACAACAGCAGCAGCAGCAGTTACTACATCAACCACCTCAGCAAATACTTCAACCACAACATCATCAGTACCAGCAGCAACAACAAGCGTTTTTTTTTCAACAGGCGATTCAACAACGGCCGCAACAACAACAACAACTACTACAAAATGAACTACGATATCAAGAAATGAGTATGCAACAACCACAAAAACAACAACAGCAGCAGCAGCAACAACAACAACAAAATTACATCAACAATTTTTCCAAAAATCTTCAAAAAGACATCACCTACTCCAAAAACATCAACTACGGCAACAAGACAAACAAGGAATACGACAAAACTTTACCAGAAAATCTCAAAATTTCAAAAACGACAAACTCAACGGAAATTAGTGAAAGGAGAAATAAACGGAAAAATGACGAACCTCAAAATGAAAATTTGGAAGAAAAAAACCAAAACGAAGACACGGCGAACGATCTTCGCATCCTAGACGACTACCTTGGACATGAGGACATAGACGACCTCATATCAAACTACGACCACGACATCAAACACATGCCCCAATTCCAACAACAGCATCCAGCCCACTGTCAATCAAAAAATGATCCATGTGACGCTCTTAGCGATTCAATTTTTGACGACGGTGACGACATAGATGATAACATCGATAAATACGGATACGTCGGTGCCATCCGGAATTTGTTTCAGGAAATGGAAAAGTATGATCTGCCCGGAGAAAAATTCTGTTTTGCGGATGAGATCATCGCCATGAATGAAAAAATCGATAAGGAAAATTTGTCGTCATTAGGAGAGCTCGATAGTAATGGTCATAAATCTCCGGCGATAATTATACCAGGTTCAGTAGGTACCGATTCTCCGATCGGTTCGAATAACGGTTTTCAATCCGACTTGAAAGGTTAACTAAAGTAAATTTAACTTTTTATGTAAAACAACTATAGTTACAGCTAACTAAAAACTTGTTTTTTTTTATTTATTATTTATCAATGTTTAAAAAATCCCGGTTCTCTTACTTATTCTTAACTGATACACTAACACGGTCAGATTATTTCAAAAATTACATAAATTATGTTGATAATTTAAAAATTATAAATACTTATTTATTCATAATTATTTTTATTATCCGATTATATATATTTATTTATTTTTATTTATATTTTCCATCACCAGCTTTGGGGAACGTAGACATCGGTGAGCAAGACGAGGAAGGCGATAAGTGAGATATTTTTCTCTAATTTTTTAAATTATTTATTTTTAAATAATTATAATTATAGCCATAATTTATCATAATAATTGTAATAATAATAATAGTAATAAAAATAATATTATCATTGCCAATATCACCATAAACAACGACTCAATTTTACTACTGCTACTTATGTGGCGGTTAACAAGTAACATTTGGCCAAACTATAATTTAATAATAAATTAATAATAATAATATTAAATAATAATATTAAATAATAATATTAAATAATAATATTAAATAATAATATTAAATAATAATATTAAATAATAATATTAAATAATAATATTAAATAATAATTGTCGTTATTAAATTTTAAACTACGGAAGCTTAATACACGGAGCAGTTATAAATAGCGACCTAAGATTGATGAGCAAAATTGTTACAAAGCTGAAAATAGACGACGGAATGAAGAAGGTTCTTGAAATGAAAAATAAATTAAAACAGGTATTATTATTATTATTTATTATTATTAACATTATTAATTATAGTTGTAATAATAATAATAATAATTTGTGTATTTATTTTAAATATTTTACCCCAGACGCCTCTAAGCATAGCGGTCATTTCCAACCAATCAAGATTCGTAAAACAGCTGATAGACCTTGGGGCAGACCCCAACACAAACATAATCCCTAACTGTTCGGACGCCATCGCCGTTAAGAGCTGTCTGTCGATGAAGCCACTACATTTTGCAGCTGCTAAAGGCCATCTCTGGCTAGACTGCCTCAAAGAACTGCTGGCTAGTCCAGTTATTGATGTTAATGCCGCAAATAGCGATGGTCAGTTGAGGCTAATTTTTTTTAATTTTCAAAAAATAGTATCCTTCTTCAAAGGCACCAAGAAGTAACACACAGAATCGGCGCGTCACGTCACATTCTTCACGCTCAATCTCCTTAGATTGCCATCTCATTCATTATATTGTCATCGCGGTTTTGGCATATTTATTTTATTAATTAATTTAATAAAATTTGTTATTTAATTTGTAAAGGCAAGACTCCACTGATCTGCGCCATACTGAACCACGGTCAATTTTATGAAAGTAAGAAAATAAATTCCATCCAAACGATTGAAGTCCTCGTTGAAAATGGCGCAAACATGAATAAACCGGTAATTTTTTTAGCATACTATTCCGTAATTTATGTAATTTTAAATAATATATCCGATTAATTATGTTACAAATGAGTGACTCTTCACACAAAACGAAAGATGAATGGTCTTTTAAACGCAAAATCTTTCACGCTATCCGAATTTTAAGTTCTCTTTAAGGACAAAATATTTCATGCTCATAGGACCCGAGCTTTGACATGACGCCTCTCCACTACGCCATTTCAGCAAAATCGTACGACCTGGTTAGATGCATCGTCGGCTTGGCAGACAGCCACATCCCAAACTCCAGCAAACAACTCGATAGATCAAAAAATGAACTGGCCAAAATGATGAGTGCTAAAACCGGTGCAGGATATACGGCCCTACATCTGGCCGTCGCGATTGAAATGCCACCCAGCGAGCATTTCAAACTAATTCAATTGCTTCTCAGTAAAGGGGCGGACCCATCTTGTAAGAATTCCGACGGCCAGTTGCCTAGGGAACTAACTAAAAACCAAAAAGTAGGTACATCACTTCATTATTATGCCTCGATGACTAACTTATACTCGTAACAAGACTGACAATTTCAGGATAAATGTTGATAATGATAACATTTCATCACAGGTTGTCGAGTTATTGAAAGGTCTTGGAACGAAACACGCCACAAACAGGAAGACACCAGCACAGCAACAGCCTTATGACTCATATAAACAACATCATCCTCGTCACCACCATCACCATCAACAAAAAAATACCATTTTCTCATCGTCACCTCATTCAATGTATTACCTAACACCGCCATCTTCAATATCCGGATCGGTTTCTTCTAATTCATCCGGAAAATCGCTCTCCCCGATGCGACACCACATTAATGTTCCGTCCCCAGCGGAGTCAACATACTCAACATCGCCATCTTCATCGACGTTATCGTCTGCTTATCAACTCCGCAGCTAGACCTCAACGATGTAATTATTGTAATTAGTTCTTCGTATAAGCGTTTTCATTTACAATGCATTGATGTTGTTTATAAGTATCACGCTGTCTTTAATGCATTCGTTGTTTTCGGTTTATATTTAGCTCTGACTGGTATTTCCCCATTAGTTTTTTCGATCTAGGCGTTCGTATTTATTTTATATTTCCCCTTATAAATTTATTGTCGGGCTTTATCTATAGATTTACAACATACGCATGTGGACGCGTGTAGTGAGTGACAACGCTACAAAAATGAATTCTATTTTCAATTACGCATCTGACTGCCCAAACGAACATTACATAACCGACCTGTTGGATCTGAGAGAGCAGTTAGCCGAAATCGAAAAGTTATTAACCGCATCGTCGGCGAAAAAAAATTTTCGTTATGAATTCGTCGAGCACTACGTTGACCTGACAGCCGCGGACTATGTCCTTTCTCTACAAAACAAAATCATTCAGATGGAGGGCGTGAAAATGTTTTTAAATGAGAACCAGATGTTCGCGAACGGGTCATTGATTGAAGACCTTATCGAGTTAGTTTTGCCGAGTTGTCAAAATATGCTGAAACTTTTAGAAGAAATTTCGTCTCAGCAAGATAGTATTGTTAGCGTTGCCTCGAGGCTTACCGTCAATGATAACAAAAATGATGATGTTAATAATAATATTGTTATCATTAATGTTAATAATGACAAGAGTACTGACCAAGTTAATAATGATAGCAACAAATGCATTGATGTTCCCTCCGAAAATGAAAAATCTTCTTTTGCTATCAACTCCTCTATTAAAAATTCAACTTATGAAACTGTACCAGCAGTTCAAGGTAAAACCTCAACTGACTTGAAACAAACTGGCCTTAACGGTTTGAAATCTGAATATGAAACATGTGATGATGATACCAAGTATTTCGAGACTACTGATAACTTGTTAGCCAATTTCAAAGTAAAACCAGCTGAAATAGTTCTAGATGAAAATGTTAACGACATGAAATTAACTAATGAGAACGGCTTGAAACTAGCTAATAAGATCGATTCATATTCTGATGAAATCGACTCAAACTTAGCTAAACTCGATTCAAATCCAGCTAAGATCGATTCAAACTTAGCTAAATGCGACTCAGGACCAAAGCACAAGGAAGACAAGTTTAAATCGGAAGAGATTAACGAAATAACAACAAAAAGAAAGCCAAACACTGACGACATCAGCACAATAGAAGATATGAATTCTTCTTTATCCTTCGAAATTATGACTTCTAAATCGATAAATCTTGCCAATCAGCTGTTTTCTTTGCACAAAATCTATATGAATAATAATAATTTGGATTCTTCCACTTCTTTCACACGTAAAAGTAAAAACTATTCCGAAGAGAATGAAGCAAAAGAAACGAATTATACTATTCTAGACCTCAATGACAGCAATTTATTTTCTATTCCAGAGACTGTCCGAAACGAAACTGAAGCTAATTTTGACTGGGAATTTTTCAGTTTGGACCATATAGAGAACAAATTCAATAGCGATTTGTTACAACCTCAAAGCGTCAACATATCAGATTTTTCCGATGAAAGAGGCTAACGATAGGATTGAGACTTCAAAGGAACCTGAGACACGCGACTCATAAAGGTTCCCTATGATATTTCGTTGGTTTTTTGATGTATTGTTTAAAATTTTTTGAATCTTGTTTCTTAAGAGGTGATAGTGTTTTATTCCAATCTTGGGCAATATAATGGCTACCTCTACGTTAATATTAACCGAATTTGGTTTTTCCTACGTTATATTTCGCTAGAGTTGAAATTATTCCTACGCATTTGTTTTGGAAAATGTTTGTTTTTTTAAATAATTTATCGATAATCGTACAAAGGTACAAATTGAATTTGATATTGCCTTTGCAAAGTCTTCAGTTTTTTTTTAAATTTTGTCTTAATCACATGTAAAATCATTTCAAATACGTAGAATGAATCAGAATAAATCGCTAAATTGTGTTTCGCAAACTTTTAAAAGTTGCTTTATCAAATATGATCATTTATGGTCAGGCCATGAATAAATGCTATTAATTTTTCTCAATTTTCTTTATGTATGCATATATATATGCGGGTATGGATCATATATCATTTCCTTGGTCCAGAGGAATCAGCAGCACACAAGCAACACATATGTATACGTTCTAAATGACGCATAACACACGATTCATGATTCGAATCGAGGCCGGTCACAGCTCACATTTGTGAAACCTCGCCAGGCGACTTAAACCACTACTCCATCAAAACTGAGTCACACAATATCACGGGTAGGTGTGCGGCTAACGTAAATTCATGGCTACGGACGTTTATTCCCAATTTATTTGGATGGTAAGACATCAATTTAATTTTGACGATTTTCTTCTAGGGACGGCTTCTCAATTTAAAACATATATGTATATTTTGTTCTACAGGGCCATCACTATCTGCCATCGTTGTTGTTGTTTTGATTTAAATTTCACTTTTTCTTAAATTAAAAACAAAGTGAGCGATAAACGGGCAATATTTTCAAAAATTAGTACAAACTTTTTTCTAGCATTAATAATTATCGGAATAAACTTCGGCGTCGTTTTATTTTTTATCTTGTTTTTTTTTCAAAGTGAACGCTTCGTTTGTGAAACTCTCAAAAACTATATTAAGGGTATTTTGAGATTTTGACCCCACGTGTGTTACGGTCGTTTTGTGTTTTAGAGAGAGAGAGAAAAAGAGAGAGTGAGAAGGAGATTAAAAGAAAGAGACATACGCATACAACACATACCTAGATAGTGAAGAAGAAACTGCCTGCAATGGATTCGATTGTGGAGACAACAAATCTCTTGGAACATTGGGACAAGGAGTACAACCTAAACCAGGATATTAGCAGTGTACTGAACAAGACCACAGACTACAATGGCGAGACCATGGGACTGGCGAAGTTGTTAGAAAAGTAAGAATTTGTAAAAAAATTATGAAATATTATATAAATAAATACATAATAATTAATTAATTAGTTTGTTATATTAGTTAGTAATAATAAGTAAACTAATTAAATTAAGTATTACTAAAAAAAAGTAAAAATCAAAGAAGTTATTTAGTTTTATATTGCATTGTAATCATTGTATACTCATATGTATAATGCATATATAATTATATATATAACATTAAATATATGAACAACTAAAGACATATATATATATATATATATATATATATATACAATATAATATATATGTTAATATATACACAAACATGCTATCCCTAATTTTAGGATAGCAGAAATAGTAGAATTAGAGAAAGGGGTGTGGTACAAATCTGACCCAGACCCATTTGACGATCGACATCCCGGTTTTGAATCTTTTTTTTATTTTTTTCTCAAATTAAAATTTAATTATTTAATAATTAAAATAAGTTTTATTTATTCAATATTACTTGTAAATATATTAATAAGTTACTATTTACATAAAGCTTATATTGTATTTATTTATAATGTTAGAATGGTAATTATTATCAATTTTAAATTAACTTTTTTGGTTATTTAGGTCGGGCTGACCCAAATTGCATACTAGGTCATGTGATGAAAGTCCTTTTCAAAAATGATAATTTTATGAGTAAGGTGGGTAAAAAGATGATGATGATAATTAAATATTAATGATATGTCAATAATAATAATTATTAGATGTTATTTTGTTTAGAATAAAGTTTCAAAAGTCTTGTCGGCATTAAATTTATTGTTTTATGAATTAATCATGAATTAATTATGTTAATTAGCTGGTAAGAACGTACATCAATTATGTTAATTAGCTGGTAAGCACTTACATGACTGGCCGAGATCCTAGTCTGACTGACTTGCACATCAATGCAAGCAGGCTTCTATTGGATATCATGCCTGGCCTCGAAACCACGGTCATTTTTCAAGAGAATGTACGTTCGTTTGTTTGTTTTGTTGTCGGTTGGTTGGTTTGTAACTTTCTCTCTATTATTCTTTCAATTTTTCTAATTTCTTTCTCTCTCTCTCTCTCTCTCTCTCTCTCTCTCTCTCTCCTTCCTCCGTTCATTAATTGATGTGTATTGTTAAATTATGTATAAATTGTAGATTGTATATTTATTTGTGTACATCAGTCAACTGACCAATCGAGACAATCTGCCTAATTGCAGGAGACATTAGTGAGGGACTTGATAGAGTGGACGAATAATAGGGATGAGCCGTTGAGTTCGTACGCTGTCGGGCTTCTGGCCAGTGCCATGGAGATCCAAGATGTGGCAGCCTCATTTAAGGAATGCAATGCTTATATGGTATGACGATGACGACGATGATGATGGTGATGATGATGTTATGATGATGATGATGATGATGGTGGTGATGATGATGATGATGGTGGTGGTGATGATGATGATGATGTTGTGATAGTGATAATGATATTGTTTCATGACGATGATGATGATGATCAGAGTGGTGATGATTAAAAAGATTGATGACGTTAAAACGTTGTAATCATAATTAATAATGCAACTGCGATGCGTAGGTCCCAAAGATGATGAAGAAGTTGATTGAGCTGAAAAGCGAGAGCCTGGCATTGAAGGAGTCGTCATCTTCTACGTCACCATCATTCAGCAAGATAAAACCGTCGTTGTCAGCGTCATCTATGACGTCATCGTCGACCTTTGCCACAGACGGCACTCGACATTTTAAGGACATCGGGGTTTTAAGTACGGTCACTAAAGAGGAAGATGAACCCTGCTGTTGTTAGTATGTTTGTTTGTTTTTTGTATGTGTGTGTGTGTGTATGCATGTGTTTTCAGTGTTTGCTTGTATGCGTGTGTACGCATGTATTCGCATTGTATTGTATTGTATGCGTGTGTATGCGTATGCAAGTTTTAAACAAAAAAGACTGTAGTCCTTGTTGATGTTTCTCTGAATAGCATCTAACTTGGGAAACGGCGGGGCATCTACAACGACGATGACGTCATCTACGTCGTCCAATAACAACAGCAGTACAAGCGTTAAGGCATCAACTTCAACGACAACGCCCTCAACCTACAAACAACAACAACTGAGAAAACGCAAAAAAATCACGGTGAAGCAACAAAGCGACCAAGATGACGATGACGACGACGACGACGATGATGTCGTCACTGCCGGTGCTGGTAGTAGTAGTGCTGTAGTCGGAACGAGTGAAGGTACTAACAACAACAACAACGTCAAAAGAAAAAATAAAAAAATGAAAATGAGTAATAATGCCGGCAAGCATGCCAATGCTACAGACAACAACATCAGCCTTACTACTAATTCTAGCTTGACCTCTATTGCAAACAACACCTCGTCTGACGACAACAACGCAACTACACCCACCACAACAACCACCAACAACAAAACTGCATCAACCAACAAAAATACAACGACCACAACACCCAGCAATAACAATCCAGACAACAGCAAACCCAAAAAAGCCAAAGAGGCAGGCAAAGCTAAATCAAACAGCAACAACAACAACGGGCCTAGTGGCAGTAAGGGGGGCAAGGGTGGAAAAGGTGGAAAGGGTAAAAACGCCCCCCAAGCGACTTCTAACGCGGCTGGTGGCGTTGTGGTCGTTGATGAAAATGAGCTACTACCTGTTGTTGTGCAGTCCTCGAAAGGTTTTTGTTGCTGATTTTTGCTGCTGTTGTTGTTTGTTCGTTTGTTGCTTTTCTCTGCTCTGATATTTGTGGTGCTTAGCCAGTGACAACACCATCAATAACACCCAAAACATCACTCAGACAACATCAATAACATCATCAACAACAACAACAACTACATCAAAACAGTCGCGTACGAATGTACGAGTAGCGATAGTTGCTGGGACGATGTCAAGTCGATGGTCATTGGAAAGTTCTGCATGGCACCACTGTCACTGGATATGAAGCAGAGGCTGATACTGATGTACCTGCAGCCAATGGGAGAGTATCAGGAAGTTAGTTGATTGGTTGATTGGCTGGTTGGTTAATTGGCTGGTTGGTTAATTGGCTGGTTGGTTAATTGGCTGGTTGGTTGATTGGCTGGTTGTTTGATTGGCTGGTTGTTTGATTGGTTGGTTGAGTGATTGGTTGAGTGATTGAATGGTTAATATAGTGTGGATGTATCTGTGAATACAAACCAAATGTAGGTTATTAAGAAGTTAAATGGTTGATTGATTGACTGATTGATTGACTGATTGATTGAAGGATTGATTGATTGATTCAGTGGTTTTTTACACTCCTATATTTTTTTATTCATGCATTTGTCTTTTTATTCACTTGCTCTATCATAGTGGTTGATGTATTCATGTATACACATGTATACACACCAATCAATCAGTCAACCAATCATCCAAAGATTCATTCAATCTTTCCTTCAATCATTCATTCATTTTGTTCACTCATTCACTTAATGGACCAATCGACTATCCAACCAATCAATCAACCAACCAATCAATCAACCAACCGACCAACCAATCAACCAACCGACCAATCAATCAACCAACCGACCAACCAACCAATCAACAGTTAGTTGGCCATGTCTATGAGCATCAAATCATGGACTTGCTCTTCTATTACATCGATCTCAAAAAAAATAAAGATGTCAGGCTGGCCTTCGAAGCTCTCAAAGTCAAATAATTATAATATTTTATCTTTCAATCAAATAATTAGCCAGTCAACCATGCAATCTTTCAACAGTTTCGCAATCATACATCCAATCCATGAATTAATCAGTCAACTATTTATTTACCGATTCATTAATGAACCAGTTAATTAATTAATTAATCAATAATTCATTCTTAAACCAATCATTCAATCAATCAATCAATCAATTAATCAGTCAGTCAATCAATCAATCAATTAATCAATTAATCGTACAGTACTTGGCTGCCTTACTGTGCCACAAAAGATTTGCCATTGATTTTTTACAAGCAGGCGGAATTCAAAAGCTATTGGAGGTGTGTTGTATGCCTGCAAGAACGCATGTCTGTTTGTTAATTTGTTTGTTTATTGGTTTGTTTGTATGTATGTTGGTTTGTTTGTATGTTTGCTGGTTTGTTTGTATGTTTGTTGGTTTGTTTGTATGTTTGTTGGTTTGTTTGTATGTTTGTTGGTTTGTTTACATGTTTGTTGGTTTGTTTGTTGGTTTGTTTGTATGTATGTTGGTTCGTATGCATGTTTGTTCTTTTGTTTGTATACATATATTCATTGTACGTTCGTAGACCAAACTTGACATAAACATGAAAAATATAATTTATAATAATTATTATTATAATATAATTAATCAAGAAAGCCAATCAACCAATCAACCAATCAATCAAAAAAATAAAGAAAGCCAAACGAGGTTTGGTACTTTTCGCTAACTTTACCAGCCTGTAATTACAGGTTCGCCGACCATCGGTGGCTGCCACTGGGGTCTCCATGTGCCTCTACTACCTGGCCTACTTCGACGACCCTCTGGAAAGGATGTACTTACTACCCCACCCCGTTCTCACTAAACTTGTCGAGTTAGTCCCTAACTATGTTATGTAATGCAACATTGCAACATCGAGTTACAGTGGTATTTGTAATAATAAGTATTATGATATTAATAATTATATTAATATTGATGATAATAATTATAATAATTGTAACTTTTCTCAAAAAAGTTTTGCGCTCTGGTTGTTGGAATGTTCGCACGAATCGGGCAGAGTGCACGCAACCATGTTCTTCGGCTTCTCATTCCTCTACAGAGTCATCGTCGAGATCTTTGACCAGCAGGATGGGCTGAGGAAGTTGTTTAATCTGGTGTGTGTGTGTGTGTGTGTGTGTGTGTGTGTGTGTGTGAGTGTGTTTGTGAAAGTGTGTTTGTTTGTGTAAGTGTTTTTGTGGGTGTGTGTGTGTGTGTAAGTGTGTGTGTGTGTGCTTATCTGTGTAAGTGTGTGTTTGTGTGTAAGTGCAAGCGATTGGTCGGTTAATTTGCTGGTTGATGATCGGCTGGTTTTATTGTTTGTTTGACTGACTGACTGATTGAATGGTTGGTTGATTGATTGATTGATTGACTGACTGATTGAATGGTTGATTGATTGATTGATTGATTGATTGATTGATTGATTGATTGATTGATTGATTGATTTATTGATTGATTGATTGACAGATTAGCACTCTGAGGATCATGAATCTGGAGGAGAACAGGTCCAACTTGACTGACGACGAACTTTTTACTAACAGGCAGTCTGCCAGACATGTTGTTGTCGCTATTAGGAGGTTGTGATGATGATGATTTCGATGATAATGATGATGATGGTTTTGATGATGATGATGATAATGGTGGTGGTGGTGGTGATGATGATGGCGATGGCCATTTGGAATCATAACTATTACCGCCATTAACCCCGGCCCTATCTCTGTCATCTTTACTCTAGAGCTATTGTCGTTCTTATTATCATTGCGACCATCATCATCATCATCATCATCTTTTTACTCATCATCATAATTATCGTCGTCGTCGTCGTAGATACTTAGAGGCTCACGTGTTCATGAAGAGTGAACAAGTAAAGAGGATGAACATGAGAACCGAGGGAGGCACGCCATTGGTCGAGACGCCAGCCAATAAGGTTGCATCATTGAATTCAAACTAATCATTCCAACAATACTCAATCAGCTCGCCAGCACTTCAAATCAATCAACACAAACATCAAATAATGAACAGCATCAAAACAATAACGACATTATTAATAATAATAACAATAATAATCAATCAATCAATCAATCAATCAATCTTTGTTTTGCGTCCAGAGACCCGGTTTTCCGAGGTAGGACGTAATAATAACAATAATAATGACATCAATTTTTTGACGGCCAGCCTTTAAAGTTTAACCCGGACTCAATACAAGACAGCATAGAATTGCTATTGGAGTGCATGCCAAATAAAAATTCATGGAAGCCAGTCAACGACCTATTGAAACTTGGCGCCATTCAAATCTTCTGCCAGTTATTGTCCATTTCCTCAACTGGGGGTCAATACTCCGGAAAGTTAGTGACATGTACTACTGATTAGTGTGTTGGACTGTGGTGGGGTGGTTTTGTACTAGTTTACCTGGTGGGATGAGGTCTATTGTGTTGTGTTGTGCTGGTTTATAGATGTTTTCGGACTTGAAAATGTTTATACTTGACCATCTTCATCATCATCTTCATCATCATCATCATCTTCTTCTTCATCATCTTCTTCTTCATCATCATCTTCTTCATCATCATCTTCTTCATCATCATCTTCTTTATCATTATCTTCTTCATCATCGTCATCTTCATCATTATCTTCTTCATCTTCTTCTTCCTCATCATCTTCATCATCATCATCATCTTCATCGTCATCTTCTTTATCATCATCTTCTTCATCATTATCTTCTTCATCTTCTTCATCCTCGTCATCTTCATCACCATCATTCAGGGTCGAAACCTTGAGAAGTACTTTAGATTCGCTGGCCATCTGCTGCATCGTGCCGAAAGCGCAACTTGCCCTCTGCAACAATGTTAAACTTCCCGACGACCAGCTCTTACCTGGAATCAGGTTCGTTATGATGATGACGATGATGACGATGACGATGATGACGTTGCTCTTAATGGGGCTGCACTGATAATACCACCGAAATAACTTGTTTATACATGTGTGTCTTTGTTGTGGAATTAAGATATTTTCTACATTCCATCCAGTATTCTACTTGACCTGGCCTCTGGAGAGCACGTGATCGACCCGGAAGTGCAGAAGGCCGCCCTGGGCTCCATCATTAATTCCGTTTGTGGCCCTCTGACCAAGGTTGGTACCGCTGCAAACAAAATTTTCGCGGAAAGTTTAGCGCTCTCGTTGGTTCAAAGTTTAATTGATTAGAAATTAGTGAATAGATAGGTGTTGTTGTAGAGGTGAGCAGGTTCGCATTTATTGTTTTGTATGATCGGGTTTCTTTTAGTTTTATAGATAATAATTTTTTTTTTCTATTTGATTTTAGTTTTTTATCTAAAATATCTAGTCCGGCCCGCAGCTGAATAGATCGAGTATTGGTGCTGGTGGTGGTATTCAGAAGAGGCGAGGCAGCCTAGCTCCCTGTGAAGATCCACAAACGAAAGTATGGCAGGCCGTCAGGTCAAATAACGGAATTATGGTGAGGATTATTATTTCAATTATATCTAATTTATGCAAATTAATTCATCCATCTAATTAGCATACGTGCAAATATGTTAATGTACCATTATTTAAAGGTCCTAATGAACTTGCTCTCTATCAAACTGCCGATGTCTGAAGCCGATGCGATCCGGGCCATGGCCTGCAGGGTTAGAATAAATTTATAGATTATGACCTAGTTACATACATGTTGGCCAGGGACCTAATTACATATATAATTAACTTGTGGCCTACTTGCATGCATAATTAACTCATGACCCAATTCTAAGCAGAATTAAGTTGTGATCTCATTATCATTCGTAGTTAAATAATGACTTATTGACATGCACAATGATTTCAAAGGTAATTAATATTCATCACTACACATAATGTGTACTATTCTACGTTCTGTTACCTAATTATTATTCATGAGGTGTGTGAATAAATTAATAAATTATGTGCGTTAGGCCTTAGTTGGCCTGTCTAGGTGCCATACCGTTAAGCAGATTATCAGCAAGTTGCCCATGTTCAGCAACGGACAGCTCCAGCGTTTGTATTTTCGTTTTCATTCTTCAATGGCTGCCAAACATTTTCACTCACTTTCTCATCATCACACTCTCATTTTGTGACGTCATCGTTTCGTCATCCTTTTGTCATTTTGATCATCATCTTCATCATCATCATTTTCCATCTCCATCATCTTCATCATCTCCATCATCATCTTCATCATCATTTTCCATCACCATCATCATCACCATCATCTCCACCATCATCATCATCACCATCATCTCCACCATCATCATCATCTCCCTCATCATCATCATCATCAGAGTTGATGTGGGAACCAGTGTTACAGGACAAGAGGTCGGAGCATGCAAAATTTTGCAAGTTCGCCATCCAGCTGATCCAGGAGGTGTCCGGAAAACTTAGCGACCAGTCCGTCGATCCGTCCCTAGAGAGGATGAGAAAAGTGAGTGGGATACTCTGATGAGGATAGTGATGATGATGGAGAGTATTCCTATATACATATATACACACACACATACACACACACATAAGCACATACATGCATAAATACATACATACATACATACATGCATACATGCATACATAAACATACATACATCGACATACAAACATACATACAAACAAACACATAGGCGGATATAGTAGCCCAAACGAAGATTGTTTTCAATGGTTGTGAACTCTTGAAACTTATCCATGCTCATCTTATCAAAGAAGGTTGGTTATGATGATGATGGTGTTGTTGTTGATGATGATGATAATAGTAATAATAATACTGATGATGATAATGATGATAGTGTTGTTGTTGTTGTTGATGATGATGATAATGATGATAATAGTAATAATATTACTGATGGTGATGATGATGATGATGTCATCTCCACTTCCGGCAGGCTTAACGGAAACAGCTGCCTCCCTGGAAAAGGAATCCAAGATGGACTTATCAATTTCGTCATCATCATTATCATCATCGTCGTCGTCATCGTTATCAATACTGCCAGTACCACCATCATCATCATCATCCGTTAACCAGCATCAACAGCAACAATCATCTAAGACAATATCCTACTCAGCTAAGGTTGTTAGTTATGACGATGATGATGATCGCGTTGGTGATGATGATGATGATCGCATTGGTGATGGTGATGATGATCGCATTGGTGATGATGATGATTGCGTTGGTGATGATAGTGATGATGAAGATTATAATTATTGAGTCTTTTTTTTTCATCTCGCAGATCAAACCTTCATCATCGTCTACGTCGTCGTCATCAGTAGCGACGACGCCATCATCGAAACCGCCGTCGCTTCCGCTACTTCGACAGCAACACCAGCAGCTGCACCAGCAGCTGCACCAGCAGCAGCAGCAAAACGCATCAACAGCCGCAACAACACCAGCCTCTGCAACAACAACAACAACAACATTTGCAACAACAACCACAGCGGAAAGTATGCACTACTGCAACAACAACAAGATCAACAACACAGTCGACATTCAAGAACTCAATTCATCATTCAGAAAGCATGTACCTAAAGCCAGTAAGAGTCTTACCGATTTCTTGAATTCTCTAATTTCAAAATCTTCGTCAAACTCGACTTTGCCGACAAAAACATTAACAACAAAGAACGCAGATAACACTAATAGTAACAACAACAACAACAACACTGATGTTTCTGATGTTAGCAACAAAGACAGCAATGATATGATTGTCGATAGCGATATTGATGTTGTTGTTGGATGTAGTAGTAGCAGCAGTGTTGTTGGGTATAATGATGTTGAGATGGTTGATTTGAAAAGTGTTGCTACGAATAGCAACAACGCAACAACAACAACTGCAACAATATTTTGTAACAACAACAACACACCAACGAAAACAAAATCAAATGTGGTGTTGAAAAATAGCGCAAACAACAACAACAACGACGACGACACAACAACAACAACACCAAAATACACCAACTCGACAACATCAACAAATGTTGCGGACGATACTGATAGTAGTTTCGCAACAGCAAAGACGTCAATGACGCCAGTAACAACACCAATGACACCAACTGCCAAATCATCATCTATATTTAGAGTTCCTATCTCAATGAATGACAGTTTCACTATGTCTTCGCGTTCGTATCTGTCTCTCTGTGTGTGTGGGTGCGTGCGTGTGCGTGTGTGTGTATGTGTATGTGAGTGTGTGTACGTAGAAAAGTGACTAATAAATAATATAAATAATTATAATTATTATTATTATACCATAATTTCTTTCAATTCCATCCGTAAATTTTTTTTACTCCAGCTGGTGGTAATGCTAAGTTTTTGCTAAGAAAGAACCAGGCTAACTCTAGCACTCCTTGGGTAGGAATTTCAGTAATTATGAACTATAATAATTATTAATTATAATAATATAATTAATATATATTTTTTTAAAACTATAATTATATCTCTCTTACGTTTTTATTCATTGATTACAGCTCAAACAAAACCCAAGCCAAAAATTGGACCACCCTCCGCAGCAAACGTCATCATTATCAGTATCATCCACACCATCATCATCATCGGCGCTACTTGCGTCAGCCAATCATCATCATCCTAACTTGGCGGACCTGTCCAATCAGAAGGGATCTGTGTTTTTTGGCGGGCTGCATAACAAATCTGTGGGTGGAGCTAATTATCCTTGCTCTGATTTGGTTGGTTGGCTGCTGATGTGAAGGGTTGTTAATGATACCCTAAAATGGTATTGACTGGTAGATTTGTGTTTGTTGGATGAATTAGAAGAATTAAATAAAATTAAACGTAAAACAATTCAGTCAACCAACCAACCAATCAAATCAATCAACCAACCAACCAATCAAATCAACCAATCAAATCAACCAACCAACCAATCAAATCAACCAACCAGCCAATCAAATCAACCAACCAACCAATCAAATCAACAAACCAACCAATCAAATCAACCAACTAACCAACCGACCAATCAGGCAACGTACTCTCTCCAACCTCCATCAGTATCTCTCTCTTCGATCGTGACCACCTACCTGCAACATCAACACACAGCCTGCAAGAATCCTGTCATCGCCTGCCCGCCATTCTCTCTACTCAAGTATTTATTTCTGGGGCAGTCGCCTGATTGGCTGGTCATCTGGCTGTCTGGATTGTGATTGGTCGATCGATCGATTGATTGATTGAATGAATTGAGTGAAGGACTGATTAGTTGAGTGAATGAATGAATGAATGAATGATTGATTGATTGAATGAATGAATGATTGAGCGGTTGAATGAATGACTGATTAATTGATCGATTGATTGAGTGAATGAATAAATGATTGATTTATTAATTGATTGATTGATTCAAACATTTTTTTTCAGTCCTCACAAATGCCCAGAGCCTAAATTCAGAACAGTCGCTCCATCAAACATAACATCAAGATTATTTAGGAGACAGGTTGGGTGGTTGATTGATTGAATGATTGAATGAATGAAAGAATGATTGATCAGCTGATTGATTGATCGATTAATTGATTGATTAATTAATTGATTGATTGATTAATTGATTGATTTTTAAATTGAAGGTTTTTCCAAGGTATGGCGGTCTAGAAGGTGGAAAGTTGGACAGAAAATTCATTTATAGCAGGTTATGCTACTACCACTACTACTACCACTACTACTACCACTACTACTACCACTACTACTACTACTAGTACTACTACTACTACTACTACTGAAAATAATATTAATAATTTTTATTATTTCAATCAGTTATAATTATTTGTAGGATTGTCTTACATTCATTTTCAGATTTCGACCGTTGAGAAGTTTTAGGGACGCGGAGGAGAATGTGTTCTCATGCTGTTCGTTCTCTGTAAGTTCATTCCTCTCTCTCTCTCTCTCTCTCCCTCTCTCTCTCTCTCTCTCTCTCTCTCTCTCTCTCTCTCATTTTTTCTGTGTGTGTGTGTTTGAGTGTGTTTGTGATTTAATTGATTGATTGATCGACTGGCCAGTTGGCTGATTGTTTGGCTAGTTGGATCTGATGATAGGATTGATCGATCGATTGGTGGAATGAATGAATGATTGATTGAATGAATGTATGAATGAATGAATGAATGAATGAATGAATGAATGAATGAATGAATGAATGAATGAATGGATGAATTATTTCATACCCAGGCTGATGAAGAGTACGTGGTCCTCGGTTTGTGCACGGGAGAGCTCAAGATGTTCAACATATCAACGGCTGTGGTAGGGTTACTATTTATATTATTATAATAATAATAATAATAATTATTATTATTATTATTATAGTTGTTATTATTTTTGTTCTTCAAGGAAAGCAACTACTTCCATTGTCATTCATCCCCAGTCATACATTGTGAGCCGTCAAGAGTGAGTTCGTTAAAATAATAATAATAAAATAAGAATAATAATTATTATAATTATTATAGTTATTATTATTATTATTATCATTATCAGGACGGCGAGTTGTGGCTGACGTCATCAGCCTGGGGCACGCCATTATCAGCTCTTTGGAAAAATAACAGTCTATTTGATATGATGTATGTATGACTTAGTGTTTGTTTGTTTGCTTGTTTGTATGTACGTTTGTATATGTAAGTGTGTGTTTATGTATGTATGTGGGTGTTTATGTATGTTTGTGTATGTTCACGCGTATGTTTGTTTGTATATTTGCCTATATATATATGTCTTTATTCGACTATATAATACCGCTGTAAGTAATACAGAAAGAAGTGATGCTTGTAACATTAATCATTTGGATAATTATAACCATAATTATTAACGTTATAATTATAATTATTATTATTATTATTAAATTATTATTATTATTATTATTATTATTATTATTATTATAGGCACGCATTTAATGATGACGAGTATGCGGAGTTCAGTAAGCTAGCTCAGGATAGAATCGTTGGTACAAAGGACTCAAGTGCTCAGGTGTGGAGGATTGGTCGTGATGGTCACACACACACACACACACACACACACACCACACGCATGAATGCCCGTACTCCTATTCAACTTCGACAGATTTATGACGTAACCACTGGCCTAAAACTGATGACACTATACGATGCTAACAAGAGCAACAACTACACCAAAAATAGGGCGACCTTTAACCCCACAGATGACCTCATCTTGAATGACGGGGTTCTCTGGGACATAGATTCCGGAAAGGTCATACATAAGTTCGACAAGTTCAACTCGGTCCTCAGCGGTCTGTTCCATCCAAATGGGCTGGAGATTATTATCAACTCTCAAGTTGTGAGTTTTGGTGTGTTTGTGTGTGTGTGTGCGCGTGTGTGTGTGTGGTTTTGTGTGTATGTGTGTGTGTGGTTTTGTGTGTAATAATAATAATAACAACAATAATGATGATGATGATAATGATGGAAATAAACAGTGGGATGTGAGGACGTTCCATCTACTGCACACAGTGGAGGCCCTGGACCAGTGCAAGATAACATTCAACAAGGGTGGAAAAGTTATTTATGGAGGTTTGTTATTGGTCCTTCGTTGTGTATCCTGAATTTTTATTGGTCTTCTGTTACCTATTGGAAATTCTTATTGGTCTGCTTTCGTGTGTGTCAAATTTTTATTGGTTCATTATCTTTCGTTGATTTTTGTTGGTTTTTGTTATCTTTTGTGGGTCCTTATTTGTTTGTTTTTACCTATAAAGAATTACGATTGGTTCATTGTTATGTTTTGTCAATTCTGATTGGCCAGTTGTCATGTTTTGTCAATTTTGATTGGTCCATTGTTATATTTTGTCAATTTTGATTGGTCCTTTATTGTGTTTCAAGCAGTGATAGAAACGGATGACGATGATCCGGCTTACAACAACCAGCCACAAAGCTCCTATGGGCGTTCTTTTAGAACCTTTGACGGCACCGATTACAGTAATATTGGTTGGTCTTGTTTCCTTTTGTGATATCTAACTTATCTCGATTTAGATTTAAACACGTGTGTGTTTGTGTGTGTCGTATGTGTGTGTGTGTGTTTTGTTTACATTTGTTTTGTTCACATTTTTGTTTACATAGATATTTTATTTTATTTTCTTTTTCCAACAGCAACCATTGACGTCAAGAAGTTGATTTTTGATCTTTGCACTGACTCCTCTGATTGCTATCTGGCCGTTGTCGAGGTTGGTTGGATGGATGGATTGATGGATCGATTGATGATTGGATGAATGAATGAATGAATGAATGATTAATGAATGAACGAATGAATGATTGTGTGCGTGAATCACTTGACTAAGGGATGAAAAAATATTGGATTAATGTTATGAATGTGTGATACAAACAAATGAACGAACAGTTAAACGTATGAATAACATAACTAAAAATGAATGAATGAATGGATGGATGAATGAATGAATGCATGAATGAATAAATGAGATAAGAAAGATCTCCTATCTCTCTCTCCCCCTTGTATCAGAACCTAAGACAGACAGACGATGTTAATGAAGAGAGCTGCCTCAGGCTCTATGAGATTGGCAAGCTGAAAGATGGTGAAGACGATCAGGTTATTATTATTATTATTATCATTATTGTTATTATTATTATTATTATTATCACCATCATTTTTCCTCTTTAGGCCGAGGAAGAGGAAGAGAATGGAGAGGACGATGATGACGAAGATGATGATGACGATGACTCAGTGACCATGACCTTCGAGTCGAACAGTCGAAGAAATGACGACGACGACGATGATGTCGCTAACGATGATGAAGAAGGAGGTAACAGAAATGGTGAAGGTATAGTGATAATAAATTCAAATACGAATCGATCTATAGCTTCATTTAAATTTTCACCTATTCCTGTTAATCATGCTAATTATGCCAGCTATTTGTTAGTCATGTTTATTGATTAGTTACGGTGAATAAATTATGCTAATTTTCACTTCCCAGGTAGCAACGTTTCAAGTGACGAGAGTTCATTTGTATTGGACGAAGAGTTGATGGAGAACGACGATGACGATTCGGAATTTGATAATTTTGAAGATTTTCAAGACGACGACGACGACGATGATGAGGATTATGATGATAATGGTGATGACGATGATGATATGGATAACATTCTATTTGAGCTATCTGATATGTCAAATTTTTAATAGTGGCTTCTGTAAGCTATGTCCGTCTAATTGAGGTTCTATCATTCTATGTTATTGCATCGTAATATATTATGTTATTTTATATAAATTTTTTGGTTCTTTTGGCAATAAAATTTCACAAAATTAACTAATATGACTAAAATGAATTAATACTGATAATTTCACTTAAGTTCATTTTTATATTGCTCTTTCTCTCTCTTTCTCTCTCTCTCTCTCTCTCTCTATATATATATATATATATATATATATAACAGTATTATAAGTATATATATAATGCTCTCAACAATGCGGAAAATGTGGTAATGTTTCTTAATAACTATATATGCGACAGTCTGAACCCATATATATATATATATATATAATATATATATATATAATATATATATAAATATATAGATATATACTTGATTATGATACAATGGATATTAAATATGGTGAACTTGTTCACCAAATTATGTCAATTTGTTACAAATTTAAAAGATAGTATATTTTTCACTGATAACTTTATTGCTGTGTATAAAAAGGTTTAGTTTGAATGAAGATATATATATATATATATATATATATATATATATATATATATATATATATATATTAATCCAATATATATATTAATCCAATATATATATTAATCCAATATATATATATATATATATGCAATATATATATATATATATATATATATATATATATATATATATATATATATATATATATATATATGCAATATACATGTATGTATATATGTATATCTTATGTGCGTGATTAGTTAAAATTTTAAAATGTGGTTCTAACTGATTTGAAAAAAGATTTTTGTTAAAAAGATTAAAAAATGCTAAATTTTGATATAATATAAACAAATTTTTATTGACAAAATGACAATAATATTTCGTTCATCCATTCATTCACTTGAAAATATTTAACGGATCGAAGATTTCCGGTTCAGTCCGGATTTGATCTGATTGGTCAGCCATTCGAAGCCCTCTTCAAGCCCTTCTCCAGTCAATCCATTACTCGAGCAAATCCACCAGGGCTTATTTACGTCAACGGTTTTGTTGAAACCCAACATGGCGCCACATTTCTGGGCGGGAATTGAATCTTTCAAGTCGGATTTGTTAGCGAAAAGAAGTAGAGGAACTCGTCTGTCTCTCAGGTCGTCACTGTTTAGAGCTAATTCTAGCTCCTCTTTTGCAACTGGCAGACGTAATCTGTCGGAGCTATCGATGACGAATATTAATCCATCGCAATCTCTGTAGTAGTGCTGCCACAAGTTTCGATATCGTCCCTGTCCGGACATATCGAAACAGGTGAGGTTCAATGAGTTTACTCGAAGTTTTCTGACCTTTAAACCGATTGTTGGGGCCGTCAATTCATCTCTGGTGGGATCCGTTCTATTTAAACGTTTCAGGATCGTTGTTTTACCACTATTGTCTAAGCCGATAACTGCGACATTAAAGGCTTTGTTGTTCTTTCCAACACCGGCTCCCATTGCAAGAATATTATATAAAAAGGAGATAAAAAATAGTTTCTTTAAAATCAAATTACAAAATTTCAGACTATTAATTTTTAATTTAACAATTAACAAATGATAAATTGAGTTTTGTTCGTTCAGTTGTTATCTATTTTATTAGCAGATGATTATAATTGGCTGATTAAATCGAAAATTTTATAAATCTTGTAAAAGTTTTCATATATGCTTTGCATCCTAGCAACGTCAATCAACAATAGGCATTTGATTTCATTTAAATAATCATGAACAGCTTGTAAAATAAAATTTCATTCAAAAATTTTTATCTTTCATTTAAATTGTTCTTTTATCAGTTAGCATGTTATACATATATATACACACAAAAATATATATATTCATAGCTTGCATTTGCAGTATTATTAAAGTTCGATTCCTAAGTTAACTCGTCAGTGACCACGTTGCCAACTTCGCTTACGTTTGTTATTAGTGGATTTTTGATATTTTGTTTTATTTATTTTACCGATTTTTAGAGTTAATTTATTATATTAATGTCTAATTCTTTGTAATTGAAATCCTTTTTTGCCCTTAGAATGTCGGATTTGGGTTAGAAATTTTTCGTCTAAATATTGACATAACTGCATAACGCATAAAATAAGTCAATAAGTGATTCTGGCTCTAATTTTAATCTTATCAATCAATCAGATTTTAGTTTAAGTTTTTAACTTAACCAATTTAATTTTACAGCGGCTTTTTGGTTCAAATTTTTCATTGATGCTGGAATTCCGGCTTCAGATGCTGGGTCCTATGCCGTCTCATTTACCGAAAATCGAATCTACAGCCACATGATCATGGACTTGACGAAAGAAAATTTGAAGGAGTTGGGAGTGAATGCTCTTGGCGACACTATTGCCATTTTGAAACATATTGAAATGTTCAAACTACAAGTATTTTACTTTCATCATTTTCATTTTATTTAATAAATTGATTGATGAATTGATTCAAGTTTGTTGCCTAAATTCAGTTTGTGCATATCAATTAAAATTGCGAACTAGTTATCATTATTTAATTTTTTTTAATTTTAATTATTTTTGACACTAAAAGGAAGCCAAGAACAAAGTATTGCAAGGATCAGAGTTTATTAAATCTCAGAATGTTCTAATGGCAACAAGGCTGTCAGCCAACATAGCACCAACAACAATAACACCAACATCCAAAATTGCATCATCCCACATAACTACCACAACAGCAGCAGAATATTTTCAACATCCTCTTCACATCATCAACAGCAACAAAGCAATACCTCAAAATCATCAACAGCAACAACATCCACAGTTGCAACAACCACAGTTGCAACAACCACAGTTGCAACAACCACAAGTGCAACAACCACAAGTGCAACAACAACAAAGTAACCCATTAAATAAAATCCTGTCTGTGAAGCAAAACCTCAAACAACAACAACACCATCATCATCAACAATCTCTAACTACTATTACTACTACTACTCCTACTGTTACTACTGATACTAACAGCCTAAACAGTAATAATGCAATTAATATCAGTAGTAATGAACACAAAATCACTCAAGCTAGATTAACTAAAACCAATATGATTAAAGATAAAACCAAGGCCGTCACTCCTACGATGAATTCTACTAAAATTAACAACAGTGCTAACATCAGTAACAACAACAAGAGCAGTAGCAGTAGTAGTAATAAGACTAAAACTGCTGACACACCTAGCAGTTAGTGTGCATTCTACTCATTCATTATGACGTTGTATTCTAATGATATACTATTATGTATATGAGTTGTTATATTTTACTAAATTTTGAAATCACAGATATTTTCTTCTCTAAACTATCTCAAGACAATGAAACTATAATTTTTTCTAATTATAATAATAATAATAATTTCATAATAATTTTTTTAAAATTATTACTCTCCAACATAATTTTTTTACAGAGCATATTCATAATTTCCTCGATGATCTAAAGAACATTAATAAAGAAGACGGTAAGAAGTTAAGCAGTAAAAATGGTTCAACAACAACAACATGTAAGCATAGATAAATAAAATAATAATTATAATTACTATTTGTTATTATTATTTATTATTCTATTATATCTTATTATTTGTATTAATACAGTAAACTAGTAAAGAAGTTTAATATTAATGTGTTTAATAAGTTTTTTCTAAAACCTTACAATGAGAATTTTTGTAAACTCTCTCAATAATTTTCATATACAGGCTATATGCTTCATTGAAATTAACTTCCAAGCGATTTAACTCATAATTTTTCATAAACATTTGTCATAATTATCCTAAACATTTGTGATAATTATCATAAACATTTGTCATAATTATTATGGAATAATTATATATTATTATTATCATTGACAGCTTCCTCAAATAGCTTGGGGTCTGTGTTCTCTAGACTGGGAAAGTCGATGAGTGACAGTAAGAATAAGTCAGAGATTAAGACATACAAGTCACCGATTGTTGAAGATATAGAGAGAGAGGTTTTTAATAATAATAATAATTATTATTATTATTTTATAATTATTATTATTATTATAATTACTATAATTAATTGTGTTGTCACTATTATCATCATAAGCAACTATTTTTATCATAATTCATGATCTTTAGTATGATCATGTTTGTCAGATTTATCATCATTATGATCATTACATCATCAGTTCTGGTTTTAAGTATTATTTATAAATGATTGATAGATATGAAAGTATGTGTTTAATCAATTAATTAATTTATTTATTAGTTGATTGATTAGTTAATTCTTCAATTTAGATATATTTTTCTAGCATCCAGGAATATTCTCGAGGCTGGGCTGTAGAAATCTCAGACCCACACAAACATCATCTCCAGCGACTTCAAATAAAAATATGAATTGTACTAAAAGCAATGATAACAACAACAACGATGATGATGACGACGACGACGTTGGTGAAGATGATGAGAATGATTATGATGAGGGAGATAATGAGGAAGAGGAAAATTATCATATCTACGAGCGGGATGATGAAAACTTTGGGGAGGGTGATGAAGATGATGAGAACTTTGTTAGTGATGACGAAGACAAGGATTATATAATAATGTCTGCAATCAATCAATCTAGATCTCACAACAATCAATCAGCCACCAGTCAGCCATTGACAATATCAGCAGGCGTGTTGTCATCTAATTCGGTTCTTCCCGCCAGACATAGGCCGCCATCGCACGGGTTTTTCAGCCCCCAGACCCAAAATGTTAACACAGATAATGTAGTTAAAGGGTCACTGGCATCCAGGTTAGGCAAAAAAGTGAGTGAGTCTGTAGTAAAAGCAAAGGTTTTGAATGCTAAAAATGAGAATAATGGAGGTGGCGATATTGCAGAGGCCCTGGCTATCGTCAGGAAAAAAACAGACCATTCATCGCCACTTAATCGATTGGTGAAAGCTGAACTCAAAACTATTGGTGATTTTTTTTAGTTTATTCAACAGTTTTAGTTCTCCTTTTTCTCATGGTTCATTTTAGATTTTCACTCCTTAATTTTGAAATAACTAATGTGTACAATTTATCTTCTTCAGAAATCGAGAAAAAGCCAAAGAAGACCAAATTGGTTGCAGTATCAGAAGGTATTTTCCAGAAGGCTGTTAGCAGCTTCACAAAGTTGAATAGAAATACTTCTAATGTTACAGGCGGTAGAGCCACTACTGGCGATAGTAATAACATCAGTACTGCTGCCAGTGTCAATAATAATACTCAGCGTTGTAGTAACGTCGTTGCTAAAGTTGATAACTTCGGTAAGACTCCCATACTATCTAGACTCGGGAAAAGAACGATAACGATGCCTCTTGGTATGTTATTTCTTTATGTTTGATGAATATTTTCGTTCCGCTTTCAGATTTTAGTTCATTTAGATGTAATATTTATGTATGGGAATGTAATATTTGTATATAAAATTAAGGTGTCTCTGTTTAATTTCAATGTAATTTTTATTTTTATGGTAGATGTCGTCTCAACTAAGAAGTCGGCCCGAGAAGGAATGGTCTCTGGTGTATTTGCAAGACTTGGCCAGAAAAATTGACTGAATAAAATCGCTGATTTAGTGAATAAAAAGATTGATCAATGATTAATATATTTAGTCTTACGTGTGTGATAAAGTGCTTGTATTTCTAATTTACGTAAGCTTTGTCTCATTTTTTGGTATTGTTTTGTTTATTGATGGTCATGTTTGTGTTACAGTTACCATACAAGTTTGTAAATCATTCGTTGGAAGTGTTCAGAGGTCGGCGAAACACGACTGATATGAGTAGAGTGGGAGCACGTACCTGTTAGAAAAGATTGTGTGGCGCTTAGTTGGACCGTCAATTTTTATATCTCAACTTCCGTTTGTGTACATATCTCGATTCAAAATTGCGATCAAAATATTGCTTTTGTTGATCTTTTTGATTGCCGATCTACACTTTTGAAAACATTTTCACTAATTTTCATCAGTTCTAGTTTCGGATTAACGTTCCGAGTTTGATGATCTTCGGATGATCCGGTCGAAGTGATTTTGAAATTCGGCAATAAAATTTTTCATTTTGGTCGCATGGATCAGGGATGGTAGAATTTTTGGAGTTTTGCAGAACTTTTTCAATTCTCAATTCTATAGAAATATTTTGAATATCGTTCAGTTTGAATATTTCGAAGATTCTGTTGCGTTGGCATTTAAAAAATATGATTATTGTTGACAACCAGTACAGAGTCATTATTAGTTTTTTATTTCATATAGAACGCTAATCCTTTATAAATGAACTCAAATTTAGATGGCCGAACTAGATTTCGTGCCCTTGCATAAATGCTTATTCTGCGACAAGATATTCCGACACGAAAGCATGCTCAAGAAACACATGTCAACACACTTTGATTCAACATTATTAGAGTGCGACATTTGTGGATTGCAATTTCAGTTTCCAGAACATTTACATCAGCATTCAATTATCCACACCTTACAAGGACAGGTTGGCCTTCCTCCTCCACCACCACCGTCAGCACCACAGCAACAACAACCTCAGCAACAGCAGCAGCAACAACAACAGCAGCAGCAACAACAACAACAAACTCCAAACACAGTTTCATCTTCATCTACCAATCACCACACGCCAAATCATTACGGCTGTTCTCACTGTGAAGCAGAGTTTCCAAATCGAGATAGCCTGCAGCAACACGAGGTAGCTGTCCATAGTTCAGGTGGAAGCTTCAGATTACATTCTTGCCCTGAGTGTGGGGAAAAATTTTTTCTCCTCGCAGAATTGAAACGACACGCACAAATGCACAGGCTAACTTTAGATGGTTTTGACAGCATAACTGGCCTACCTCTTGGCAGCAACATGACCCGCACAGGCAAGAAGAAGACATTTGAGTGTCCAGAATGTCATAAATTTTACTCAACGTACGGCAACCTCAAACAACATGCACTAACCCACGACGGTGCCCGGCCATTTGAGTGCGATGACTGCGGTAAAAGATTTACAACTGCTGGAAACCTCAAACAGCACCGCATCAAACACCTGGTTGACGGGAAGCCTCACCCCTGCCCCATTTGTGGCAAACGTTACTCAACTGCAGGCAACCTCAAACAGCATCGGATGAGGCATTTAAAAGCACGCCCCTTCTCTTGCGATTTGTGTGGAAAATCTTTTTCAACAGCCGGGATATTAAAACAGCACGCCGTCGTTCACACAGGGATTAAGATGCACAGGTGTGTCGTCTGTGAGAAGAGTTTTAGTTCCCTGGGAAATCTTCGCCAACATGAGCTGATCCATAGTCGGGATCACCCCACGTTCTCATGTCTCGTCTGCAACTGTTGGTATACTACTGCTGGAAATCTCAAACAACACGTCGCTAAAAAACACGGTCCCAATGAGCGCCTAACTGCTTGCCCGCGCTGCAAACGACGTTTCTACTCTCCATACGATGAAGGTAATTTGAAACCTTTTTTACATCTGATATAATTTGTACCTGCTATTCCATATTTTATCTGTATAGTTTTATTTTCATTCCTGCATAACACCACTAATAATACTAATCGATCTGCATTATTTCCAACCTAACTGATGTAGGAATGGTCCGTATAGAGGACCCAAACACAAACATGTGGGAGAGAGTCTGCGACCAGTGCACGAACGGAGGAGGTCCCGGAAACATGTCAATGTCCTCGTCCGTGGGGCAGAACTCTATGGGGGATATGTCTTCAGGGAACAGCCTGGACCCCCAAAAAATGATGATGCAGGGTGATGTTGGCCAGGATAACTCAACGCCATTTAAAAATGGGAGTAACCCATTATGCATATGAGGATAATGAATTTTTATGGTTGTGTGTGCGTGCGTACATATGTGTATGTTTGTGTGCGTGTGTGTGTGTTTATAAATATATTTGTACAATTACGATATATGTATATGTGTGTTTATGTGTATGCACGTGGAGTGTGTAATAGTTAATCTACATATGTATTTATATGTGAGGTTTTGTTTATCTGCTCGAGTTTGTATGTTTGCACTTGTTTGTTTTTTATGCATGTTTGTATGTATATATATATATATATATATATATATATATATATATATATATATATATATATACTATATATACATATATATACATATGTGGTGCATGTATATTTGTAGTATCTCTACTATTTATTTATGTATTGTATAATGTACATTGATCTTTCAGTACTATTATTATCTTTTACTTTATCACGCACACACACACAGACGCACACACAGACACTCATCTATAAATTTTTGTATATTCAAATATATATATATATATAATTTATTTTTTAAAATTTGTATATTATTGTTGTGTTGTCTTGTTTGTCAAGGTGTGTGTTTTTTTTATGTACATGTGTTTTTACGTAGGCGAATGTATGTATTTTTGTATGCGTATATGTATGTATGTACGTACGTACGTACGTTCGCCTGTAGGTGTGTGTGTTTTGTGTGTGTGTGTGTTTACTGCTTTATAATTTGCTGATGTTTAGAATGAAGCAAATAGGAATCATTCAAATGGTTGCTTTTGGTCCATTTCACACACTGTCTCTTCTCTCTTTCTCTCTCTCTCTTTCCCTCTCTCTTTTCCCCCCCTCTCTCTCTCTCTTTCTCTCTCTCTCTCTCTCTCTCTCTCTCTCTCTCTCTCTCTCTCTTTCTTTCTGCCAATAAATGGCAAATCTGAAAAAAATGCTAAATTTAAAATACTAACTAAATCCGTTAACATATAAGGGGTATATATATAAATATATGTGTGTGCGTGTGTGTGTGTGTGTATGACAAAATCATGTAAAATTGTAACATTTTCTATAAATATGTGTATGTATGTACAAATATATATTTATATATATTGTTTTTACATGTTTATTTGTCATTGTTTAGGCATAGCTCAGCTGTTTTAAATACTACTGTTTCAAATTTTATTATATATATTGTTGTTTATTATTATAGTAATTAATAATTATCATTTTCATTAATAATATTTTGGACGCATAATTTGAATTAGTGGATAAGGAATTAAGGTTCTGATTAAAAATTGACTGATTGATTGATTGATAGTCAGATATATTGATCTATGGATTGATTGAATGAATGATTTTTTAAAAGTCAGATATATTGATTGATTGACTGATTGACTGATTGATTGATTGATTGATTGATTGATTGATTGATTGATTGATTGATTGATTGATTGATTGATTGATTGATTGATTGATTGATTGATAAATTGATTGATTGATTATTTTACGAAAAATTACAACAGCAGTAAATAACTTTAACTAATTTTAATTTGAAATGATTTTACTCTTTGATATTATTATTTGTGGTAATAATAACAATAATTATTATTATTTCAATTATTATTATTAAATATTAATAATTATTATTATTTAATATGATTAGGTGGCTTATTTGAAATGAAATGACAGTTTCAATATACTTCTGTTTCATAGTTTCTTTTCAATATTTCGCAATAATAGTGATAATAAACACTGTTATTGTTGTTGTTGCTCTTCTTCTTATTATTATTTTTATTTATTTATTATTATTATCATTTATTTATTATTATTATTTAAAATATATAATTTAGATTGTCATTCTTCACCTGTGTAAAGTTTATACATTAATCCATTTATATTTTATTACATTGTTTATTCATTCATTCATTTCTCATCCAGAGGCATACAATCATCGTCCATGTTTCTTAATTCATTCATACATTCATTCATTCATTCATTCATACATTCATTCATTCACACAAAACTATCAGTAATTTTTTGCTTTTTAATCAGAAAACGAATGCAAAACTAAATGTTATTACATTCTTTATGCGTGTATTTGTGTGTGCGCGCGTATGTATGTGTGTGTTTGTGTATGTATGTATGTATGTGTGTGTTAGTTTGTGTGTGTGTGTATGTGTGTATGTGTGTGCTTGTTTGTTCGTGTTTGTTTGCGTGTTTGTTGTGTAAGCAAGTGATAAAAAATATAAGCACTCGTTTATACAAATTTATTATGTATTATAATTATAAATATATAAATTGTCTTTTCAAAGAGACTCCTATGATTTCAAAATCAGTTCAGTGGACACGCACGTACACACACACACACACACACTCGTATATATATATATATATATATATATATATATATATATATATATATATATATATATATATATGTATGTAGATAGAGAAGCGTAGGTTTTATTGCTTTTATCCATTAAATAACATTATATTGTCCAATGTGTTTTCATTAGTGATTTAATTGACATGTATATTATATATATATATGTATGTATATATATATATATTAATGTGTATGTATGTATATAAACTATATACAAGTATGTGTATATGTATATATATATATATATATATATATATACATAGTATGTACATACCGTCTGTTTGTTTGTAAAATGTCTATCGATTTTTTCTAGAGGAATTCTCTTTTTTTTGTATAATTGTTTATATTAAATATCATTATTCATTTTTATTATTATTATTTTATTATTATTTTATTATTATTATTATTATTTTTGTTCTTTATTATGGGCATCGCCGTTGCGTCATATCTCGCTTAGAGTTCTTTGATAGCGACAATCAGGAAAATGATTAGAAGTTGCTTCCGCTGCTGCTGCTGCTGCTGATGATGATGATGATGATGGTGATAATGGGGGTAATGATGATGATTGTGCCGATGATGATGATGATGATGATGGTGATTAAAGTTATTTCTACGTTATGATGTTAATTTTTTTTTCTTAAAATTTATTATCTGTCTTGGAAATAACACCCTAACTGATGGAGTCAACGATCATCATCATCATTATTATTTGATGTTATTATTATTGGGTATTATTATTATTATTGGGTATTATTATTATTATTATTATTATTATTATTATTATTATTTGATATTTTTTATCATTATTGTTGTTGTTATTCTTAAAATGCGCTGATGTTTTTTTGGTGTCATTGTTGTTATTGTTAACGTTCTCATGACCTTTTAAAATTATTATTATTATTTATTATTATTATTATTGTTGTTATTATTATTATTGTTATTTTGAATTTCATCGAATAATAGTTATAATAATAATAAAAATTTATCATGCTTCCCTTCTTTCATTTTCACATGTTGCTGATCAGTCGATGTTCATCATCATTATCGACAATAATAATAATAATAATAATATTATTAATAATTGAATAATTTTAATCATAATTTTTTTATTATTATTATTATTGTTATTATTATATTATTTTTAACTTTTCCATCTCGTCTCCTACAGGCAATGTTATATTCAATTCTATTATTATGCTATTGTAATTATAATAATCATAAGGATAATTATAATAATATTGTATTATAATTATTATTACTGGTGTTATTATTATTTTTATTATCATCTATCTGATAATAATGAAGACATTTTTTTTATATGTATTTATGAATTTGTATTTATTTATATAGATTCAAATAATTTCCTGTCTTCTCATTCTTCTTCCATGGCAATTATCGACTTTCGGGGTAAGTAGTTATTTTGTTTATATCGGATTTATGACACGGTTTTGTGATGGGTTGCATTACATATCGTTATTTTCTCCGGAATATCCGATGCTCGATTCGGTTTTTCCGGATACCGCACGGATCGATCTTGGTCCTCTTCTAGTTGTACTCTACCTCCGAACTAATTCTTATTAAAAATTATTTTTTTGCTGGTTAACTATAGGGTTAATGATTTCTATGTCTTTCTTCATTTCAATGTCAATTGTGATCTTCATAGTTCATAGTGCTAAATCTTAAATCTGCGTTCGCTTTTTCTGGCTCTTCTCTCTGGGACTCCTACAACTTGGGAGTTCAGAGCTAGTCTCGAGATCAACCTGTTTGTAAATTTTATTGAGGAACGCTGTAAAATATTTAGGAAGTTTGCTTTAGAAGCTAATTGATTGATCGACTAATCGATCATATAATAGTTTTGACCGATTGTGATGGAAAGTTTAATTCATAAATAATTCGGCGCTAGATAATTTTTTTTGACCTCCATCTTAAATAGTTAAAAATAGTTCGCATAATCAGTTTCGTTGTAGGCGTCGATCGAGATTTATTTGATCATTTTAACCGCGTTTTGGGTTGATTTGGACTCTAAAAAACACACAGATGTTAGTGAAATTAGTGTGTTCCTACTAATCGTCACGTTTGATTTTTGTAAATTTGTGTCTTGGCTTGCGTTATAGCTCTTTTTCAGTCTGGCTGTATTAGTCTGCTCTGCTACTGTGGTTGATTTTCTAAATCCGATCCGGATTCTAAATCTAAATTATCCGGTTTCCGGTGCATTTGATTAGTTGAAAATTTGTCATTGATACTTTTAGATAACCAATTTTTATATTCCCACTTGATTACTTTGTTTCCTAATGTTCAATTTTTAATTATTTTGGTTTCTTTTTTAAATAACAATAACTTGATCAATTTGTACTTTAAACCCCCAGGGCTCAACCACCTCCAAAACCGTCAACTGGTCCAGGCGGACCGCCAGCGTATGTATCTTGTATAATTTAATATTTTTTTTATAAATTTTCAACTTTTAGATTATTTGTTTGCATTTCATCTTGCAATAATCTAGAATGTTATAAATGTTTTACTCAATCACCCATTCATTTTGTGTTAAATTTGGGGAATGCTTTTTTTGCTTAGGGGTCCAGGGGGTCCACCACAACCGGCCCAGCAAAGCAAGCGACTTCAACAGACTCAAGCTCAAGTGGATGAGGTATTTAAGTGTATTTTTATAAAATTTTCAGTATGTTTTTAGAGTGAATTTTATTTTGGATATACTTTTCATCACATTTTCTAAATAATTTGCCTTTTATATTTTCAAATGTATCCATATGATGTTTGTTTCTCAAATTTATTAAATTTTTCTACTTAAATCATAAAAATTATTCATCTTTCTTTCACTAACTTGATCAGGTAGTTGATATTATGAGAGTGAATGTTGACAAAGTCCTAGAGAGGGATCAGAAACTGGCTGAACTAGATGACAGAGCAGGTTATACTTATAATTATATTTTATGGATAATTATTATTTATTATAATTAAATTTTAAATGCATTTTTTTTATCAAATTTTACCCTGTTCATTACTTGAAAATCTTAAAAAAATATGTTCTGTAATGAGGTGTATATACATTCAAACACACACACACACACACACATAAAAACACACACACACATATACATACAAACACATACAGATGCACTGCAAGCAGGTGCCTCACAGTTTGAGGCCAGTGCTGGCAAGTTGAAGAGAAAATTCTGGTGGAAAAATATGAAGGTATGAAATTACAATTATAATAATAATAATTAATTATTTTATTTGGATTATAGAATTATAAATAAATTTAATTTAATTACTTTTTTAGATGATGCTTGTAATGGGGGCTGTCGTGGCTGTGGTTGTGGTCATATTTGGAGGTGGTCATTCTTTTTATTTATTTTTATGGTTATTCTTTTTACTATTTATTTATTTAGTTATTATTATTATTATTATTTATGTAATAGCTTTTTTCAGTTGATAATTCAACTTAAAATGAGTTCTTCTGTTCATTATTTCTTCAGAAAAAGTTGATTTTATTTATTTGACGTGTTTTTAGATATATATATATATATATTTATTTATTTTCCAGATTTATTTCATTTTGTTTTTATTTTATTTTTAATTTTGTTTTTAGTTTAAATTTTGAGTGTTTGGCTGGCTGGAAAGTTGCTTGCCAAGCTGCCAGACTGGAGATGATGAAATCATGCCCTGGGGTCCAGCATCATTAAACTCTTCACATATTACATAAGTATGTACACAAACACACACACACAGAGAGAGACACACACACAGACGCATGCAGACAAACAGACATACAAGCATACAGACAAACAAATGAACTTACATGCATGCATTGTTTTTTTTGTGTGTTTATTTGTTTTCTGTCTATTTTCATTTTGTAATGTTTAGTTTAAATTTTTTTTTTCGAAAGTTTAATTATGTCAGTTATTTGTCTTTAAAAGCTTTCTCTGATTTGTTCATCTGCATGTGAACCTAGAAATAATTCTTTTCTCTCAATTTTTAAATATATTTAAATTTTTTTTTTCAGCCTGGATCTACAACAAGTGATTAGTTGCTCTTTTTGTCGCAAACAATCTCAATGCTGTCACATTTATCGCCTCAACCAAACAAAAATAATTCACCATCTCTCATCCAATCACAGCCACACGTATTCATTCTTTGATTCAACCAGCCAATCACAACCATCTACACATTGTATAATCCCCAGCCAACTAACCAATCACAACCAACCAATCACAACCAACTAATCACAACCAACCAATCACAACCAACTAATCACAACCAACCAATCACAACCAACCAACTGACCACTCCAAATCAGGGTTGCACCAACTCCTGCAACAACTGCACCTGTAATAGTAAACTCTGGAGAAGCCGGGCAAGCGATAGGCCAACCGGGGATGGCTCAGCCCGCTGCTGAAGCTGGCCCCCCACAGGCACCTCAGGCTCCTGCTGGTAGTGAGAGAAGGAAAGGTAAGGGCAAGCAGCCCCAGCACAGCACCCTCATCCGTAAATAGATTGTAGTAGAAAATTAGACATGCACACTTTGAATTAATCGCAGATGCATCGGTTGCTTATATACCTACATAGTTTCATGAGTGTCAGATAAATAGCTGATTGTATGGTATATCTGATTAATTGGTTGGTTGATTTGTTGGTTGATTGATTGATTGATTGATTGATTGATTGATTGATTGATTGATTGATTGATTGATTGATTGATTGATTGATTGATTGATTGATTGATTGATTGATTGATTGATTGATTGATTGATTGATTGATTGATTGATTGATTGATTGATTGGTAGGTTGATTGGTAGGTTGATTGGTAGGTTGATTGGTAGGTTGATTGGTAGGTTGATTGGTAGGTTGATTGGTAGGTTGACTGATTGATTGATTGAACACACATTAACAGAATAATGTAGCGCATTACCTATTCCATAGTACCAATCTGATCATGTATACTACACAAAAATGTATGTGTATGTTTGTACACAAAACGCAATTGTAAAGGAAGCGTAATTTCTGTATTTTTGTACTATAAATCTTCTCTTAGTCTATGTATATGTGTGTATGTGTATTTATATTTGTGTGGGAGGTGTGTGTGTGTGTGTGTGCGTGTGTGTGGCAGATTGATTGTGTACTGGGTTATAAATAATGTATGATGATGAGGTTAATGTTTTAATGATAGTTTAATCAGTAAATTAATGTTGATATATATATATATATATATATATATATATATATATATATATATATATATATATATATAGTCTAAATATATTTATATATAAACTTATATGATAGTATATATTTGTATGTATATGCAGATATATATATGAATGTATGTATTTGACGTGTTATATGATTTTAGAAGAATCTTTCATTCATTCATTCATTCGTTCGTTCGTTCATTGGATTTTAACTCTGTCTAAACTTCTCGTGTTATTTGTTCTTTCAAAAAAAAAAGATAATGAATAACGCAACTAAGTCGTTTATATTACTTTATGATTATTATTATTATTGTTGTAATTATTATTGTATTTATTTATTATTATTATCCATTAAATTATCCATTATTTTAATCTTTTAACTATTATAATAATTGATCATTTTGTTTTTAATTTTAAGTCATTTATATTACTTTATGATTATTATTGTAATTATTATTATGATTATTATTATTATTGTAATTATTATTATGATTATTATTATTATTATTATTATGATTTTCCTTGAAGAGTCATGTTGTAGAAGTCGTTGATGTTGTCATATAGATATAGATTAGATTTTACGAATCTACTGTTTTTCTGTTTTCTTTTCAAATGTTTCTCGATGAGTGGATTAAAGAAAATTGGAGATACAAGTTCGCATTAACGCACACAACTGTGTGTGTGTTTGTGTGTGTATGTTTGTTTGTGTGTTTGTGTATGTAAAACCCTTCGTTGGTTAACTAGCTATTGATGGAGCTATAAACATTGTCAGGTTCTGCTATAGTCTCTATGCTGTTGGGTCACGCAAAGAAAAGGTTATTTAAAGCCCCATTAAGTATATATGTATGTGTTTGTTTGTGTGTATGTATGTGTGTGTGTGTGTGTGTACGTGTGTGTGAAAGTTTTGGCTTTTATCCACTCTATAAAGTTTCGAGGTTTTTTTTGTCCATCTTTTTGACTTTTATTTTCATTTTATTGTAATTTAATAATAATTATAATTTTATTATTATAAAGTATGAATAACTTGTTTTTATTACGCATAAACAATTATATATATATATATATATATTGTTTAAATGTTTATATGCGTCTGTATATATATATATATATATATATATATATATATATATATATAGAATTATGTGTATATAGAGAGAGGTATTATGCGCATGAGTGTATGTGTACGTGTTTGTGTTTGTGTTTGTGTGTGTGTGTGCGAGTACACTGTCTTTCCTTATTTGGTAATTTTTATTTGCCAGTAGTACAAAAAATAAGTGAAGGTGTTTTTCACGGTCGTTAATAAAAAATTTCAACTGAAAAATAATGGAATTTATTATTTAGTATTTATAATAATATTAGAAATATAAATATGTATATTAATATTATGAATGATTAAATTATAATACGCTTAATGTTGATTTGTTGCACGATATATTTTTATCTTTAGGTTGCTTTTATAGTTATTA